GATGATAGGTCGTACATGACTGTGACTCCAAAAATCGACATTGACCAGACAAAATGACGTTAATGTTGGGCGTGTGTTAAATAATATCCTCCCTAACTAATTTCCGCACAATTCCGGACACCACTCATGTGATATTTATAGTCCTTTAGCTATCAATTTCAGATTTGTGTCTAGGCCTTATGAAGGACACCCTCCATATATTGGGGCATGCGGAAGTCTTTTTGAATATGGAGTATGTCTTTTGAGAAATTGTAATGGAGTGCCAGGACACCCATTTTTAAGGAATCTCGAAGCTATTCCGCCAGTACACTTGCTCGTGGAAAACTTAGGCGTTTCAATAGCTTGCTTAATCTAGGCACATAACAATAATAATATATTTCACACAACATAAGTTACATGAAAACGAACCAGTTTACAGGTCTGATCATTTTGGTACTGTGAACCGACTGTTATGTACGATATGAAGTTACACAATAGACACCGTTTTTTCCGGCACATAAAAGATGCGTCTAGAGTAAGAACGGCAATGCTTTGCAGACAGCAAAGAATGAAACAGATAAACACCAGCATAATTTTTCATCATACTGAGGCAAGCTCCGTTCGAAAGTAGGAAATGCTCAGCTATTGTTTGAACCTTCCAATGTTCTTGAAGGTAAGGCTGGTAGTGCAGCTGTGATCTTGGGCTTTATGCATTCGTCATGAGGTCCAGATGTTATAGCACTCGCTGACAAATTAAACTACTGGGATTCCATATGGATGAAGGACTGGTTGGGTAGACCTGAAAAATGAACAATATGTGAGCTCAGTGGTGCCGATTGGTCCCAATATTCTAGGACAGAATCGGTCACCAATTTTAACGGAGTTCACACCATTACTGAAGATTGCTGACTATCACCTACGGCAAGCGCAAGCGACAGGAGCGCCAACTAGATCTTGTTCAATGTTGGTGTGTCGATAGACTCCTTGTTGGCCAGGGGAGAATGCCTTGACAGCTAAACGTGGTCCGACTACTATAAGATGCTGAGACTCTGTCCTCTCCTCGTAGCGCTGTGTCGCCTTTTTCGCGGAAGCTGGGCGCCTTGAGACTACCTGCCACTTTGCGAGTATCTCTGAGGACTGCGAAAAAAGCCAGAGGCGGCTTTCTTCTCTCACGCTTACCAGGCATTGTCAACACCTGCAAAATCCGGATCAAGCGTGACAAATCATGGTTATTTGGAAGAAAGGAGAAGGAATCCATCTTTTGGAATCCAAACAGAAACCTCATCATGGCGGCACATGGGATCCTGCAAATGCCAAGTGACCACTGCAAAAATCGCTTCCCCACGTCGTCCAGCGGTGGCAACAGTTTTCAAATAAATAAAGTTGGCCCCGGCAATATGACAGCTAGCAGTCCCAGCAGCTTGCCGACACCAAGGGACTACGCATCATCCAGTTTGGCCCGTCTTCCTCACGAACGTGCTAAACGCATGGTGTAACGCGAGTGACTACATGGGCATCTCAAAACGCACGTGCGAGATCAGGTGGAGGTGCACCAAGCTCCCTAAGGTCAGTGGTCGTCACACGGGCACATATCAGTGAGTCAAGCACATCGAGTGCCCAAACTCCTGGCGATACAGTCCCCGAGCGAAGCTGAAGCTAAGCGCCTCAGGTGAAGCAATCAACCATTTCTTTCCGCCAGGCGGCACGTGATCACATCAACGTTAGAGGAAGGGTAGCGGAAGTGATGAAGTCCAGCAAACACCTGCACTCTGAAACTGTACTTGTCACGCCATCTTGCCTCTAGCCGGATGTTCCGACGAAGAGATGCTCGTCACCGGGATGGGGCTCTTCCGCTGGAACGGAGAACTAAGAGCTCGGGAAGGAAGGGTATCCATGTGAGCCCCCTTTTAGGGCGTATACGGTCAGCGACACAGCTCTAAACAAGTTTCCGTGATCATTATGGTGCTGCTTCCCCCCTTGTCATAAGAGGTACGTGCTTGGGGTTACGTAGCATAGTGTGCTACCAGCCCCTTACCCGCAAGGAGACTGTCACAGGGGCAGGTTTGCGACTTCTGCAGATTGGGGCTCCATAATCATCGCCGGCAACTTCAGTACTCCTTTCGTCCTCTTTGAGATGAGAGGGAGGCACACTGAATACTTCAGTCAGAGGCTGGAGAACACAATTAAGACTACTGGTCTTTCAGTGAAAGTGGATGATGCAACACGTTGGAGGTCTGACGGGAGCATTTCAAACATGAACGACGTTTTGGCGGGCGGTGACCTCACTGAAGACACACGTATCCAACAGTCACTTGGTCTCAGTGGTTGTGCCTTTCTCCGTGATTACTAGGGAGCCTCTGCAACTAGAGACACATAACATCCTCCCTAGCGACGGCAAGGTCAACTATGAAACTACGGGAGGTTAACTCATTCGTCCATCGTGGCCCGTGGGTTGGACTCATCTCACAATTGATGAACACCAAACATGTGTGAAGTAAATCATTATTGGGGGCGTCAGACGCAGTTTGCCAGAGGTAACACACCGACCGTTAGCCAGAACCTCATGGCTAGTGTGTGGGACAAGGAAACTACTTCAGGTAAAGAAACGGGCTAGATTTCAGTTGCGTTCATCGTGTAGGAAGTCCAACTTCTTGAACTTTAAAAGAATTCCCAACCACTGCAACCTAAGAGTCCATAGCAGCAGGTCTATCAAACAAACCTGGGGAGGAGGCCACAGAACAACCCCAAAAACCCCTACAGCTTCATGTCGGAAAGCAGGTTGGCTAGCAAAGGAGTGAGTCTCATCACAGGTTTCAATGGAGGTGGGCTAAACAGTATGGAGATAACTCATTTTGCGAGCTGCGACTCTGAAGCGCAGCCAAGTACTGACAATAAATCTGCACCGCTTCGAAACGATACTTATCAAATCATAAGTAACGAGTACCTCTGTTATATCCCTATCACGCTGAAAAAGGTATCAGAAGGAGTGTCTAGGATACGTCCAGGCAAGTCCCGTGGTTACGAGGACCTGATACCGGCGGTCCTAAAATAATGCGCCGAGGCACTTACGAAACCAATCTGCACCTTCTTCAAGCACTCACTGAGGCTGTACAGACTCCCTAAAGAATTGAAGCGCACGATCTTGTCACCCATCTTCAAAAGAGCAGACCGAAAAAGTTCTCGCAATTACATGCCGACAACCCACTCTCGATACTGACTTAAGCATTAGAACGCTTGATAGAGGGCGGGATCTGAGAGTTCCATGGCAGGAAAAACACGGTTCAGACTGTTCAGCACGGCTTTCGGAATAGTGATTCAAATATCCACAACTTACCGACTACCTAGGACGTCTGGAATTCTAGCTAGGACAACAAAAACCAGCTCCTGTCATTGTTCTCGACCTGGCTAAAGAATCTGGCAGTTTCCTGCCAGCAGTCCCGGTTCATAAGGTTGTGTCAACCGCTATAAGTGGACCCTGGCCTCCTTGGTTCAATGTGCGCCTGGAAGGTGGGCAGTTCAGCACCAAAGTAGACAGAATGCTGTTGGGGTGGAAGCCATCGATGTCAGAGGCATCCCGGTGCTGAATCATAGGACCAATTCTGTTACCTATGTTCCTCAGCGATCCGCTACATAAAATCTCCCCCATCCTTCTCTTCGCTAGTGACGTTAAAACTCGGAGGATAGTAAACAAAGAGGCTGACTTTTCAGCGCTCCAAAATGATCTGCATCAAAGTGAACACTGGTCATCGGAAAATGGCGCGAACTTCAACCTGGAAAGGTTCAAAGCAGTGTACATCGGTACTTATAAAGCAAAGGCGGTCGAATTCCGATTCAGGTTGAGCAACCGTGCCATCACCAAAGTATCCATGGCAGAAGATCTGGGGCTCAAATTTTCGAACATCCTGAACACCAGCCCAACTACAGAAGAAAGTGAATGCCAATTTGCACCTTCTGTGTGGACAACTTGGATTATTTCCTAGTTTTCAAATACTATTTGGGGCCACACCTAGAGGTTTTCAATACCATAGCATTCTCGACACACTCCAATATCCTTCGGGAAATACAATGATCTGCTACAAATCAGTTGCGGGACTGAAGGGGAAGACGTACTCTGAAAGACGGACACTTAAATCTATTCATCCTGCGGTATAGCAGAGAGAGAAGTGATCTTATTATGGCCTACAAGATCATCCACCAGACTAGTTACACAAACAACTGACCATGCTTAAAACACGGCGGTCATCAGGATAACACATTTAAGAGCCGACACAAGGCTTAGGTCTAACTTTTCCCCCTTGAAAGTGTGTGCCTTATGGGATACAGTAGACTCATTCAGAAAGTAGTTAGACATTTACACCATTTCGCCTGGCTTACAACATATGTACTCGGGGAGTGACTGATCTAACTAGTCCAGCACAACTTTCTTTCTACTTACCGCTCACAACCTCGTTTGTCGATGCACCTACACTATCTGCTAATTTTGCCCTGGCGACTAAGCAAATTCTACAAACTTTTGCCTTTCCGGCAATTCCTAAATACTTTTTCCTACTACGTCGCAATTCCTATTCAGGCACCCATTGAGCTAAGTCACGAAAGACCCCTAGTTGTCCTAGCAAGCTAAAGCTCCTCAACCACCCACAAATTGGAATTTCTAACCCATAAAAGCATTCGCCGCACCGGAGCTAAAAGCAGGAAAGCGGGTGAGACCTCCTTGTTCACTGGAGGAGCAGATTGAACAACTCGAATCGGGCCACAATAACTCGGTGTGAGAGGTCGGAAAATATCAGTTTTCTACTCTCGGACAATCGAAGTTGGATGTTATTGAAGCTCAAATCAGAATGGTAGATATTGTGCACAAAGGAAATTCTCGAACAAATAGGCGTCTTATTCAAGGATGCATTATCAACTAATTTATCCACATGATGTTCGAGGGTTTGGTCAACCTTCATCTCAAGGTCTTAAGGCAGCGAGGGTAAATTGAAGCCAAACATTGTTGCATTGGTTTTTTTTCCACACATGTGATGGAGGCAAAGGCGAACGAGTTCCACCGGTGAGTAGTTTTCCATGTTATTATTTGTAGATTCCACCGTAAACTGCGTAGTGAAGAGGATGATAAATGGGATTGCAGCGTATGCACGTATATTAACCCCAAGGAATCATATAAATGCGAAATCTGCCACACAAGAAAAGGCACGTCAACAAGGTATGAATCTCATTCTTATTTCGAGCTCTGGTATAGGAAACCACGATTAAATACTCAAGTAGTCGAGCAACAACAGTTAATAGCACAAACTATCCTAAAGGAAAAAGATGATGAGCACAAAAAGAAGAGAGAATCTAGATGCAAGCAGGCTGTATCGAGGTATTTATTGTTTTTATTATTATTTTCGAGCTGTGTAGTAATTTTCGCCTAAAACACTTCGATCGATCTTCACCCTTACTTTTTGAGATCTTTGCAAATGGCTACAGTGTTATTATCACTGAGTTTCAGCCTAAGTCATCGAAGTCAAACATTCGCAGCTTCTCTGAAAGTCCTGCACTTTCCAACTGCTCATCACATCAAGTAAGTGGTCATTATATGTAGTTATATTTTCCCTAGAGTTCCATGAGTTTAGTTTATATCAACTATGTAATAGATTACTTCAAATTCTTGGGAATGTTTTTTACTTATGCATATGGGCGGAGTGCGCTTGATAATGCTCCACACTACATCCAAAATCTTGAGATACAGGTATTGACGGGGTGTTTTTGATCAAGAGGTCTTTTACAGCTTGACATAACTGACTTTGTAGTTATCAATACTGCCAGCCTGCACTTCCAGCGAATAGGCAGCCGACCTTGATTCTGTTCTTACCAGTCATTAGCTACAGTACAACTGTTTCTAATCCATCGTTTAGGGAAAATATCCTTCAATCAGTGGAAAGTAAAGTGAGTTTAGAATATATCAGGGTATATTCTAAATACACATGGGTACTCTGGAAGAAATTTCGATTCTGTAAATGTTTACCATTGATAAAGAAGAGAAAACGGGATGTATTGTGTTGACTTTTGTGGTCAGGAGGGGGGGCTCAGGGGAAAACACAACTATAGTTCCACTTGAAGTTTTGCAGGTTGTAAATGAGTTTGGAAGTCAGAACCTCGACTTTTTCAGTTAGGGATTGGGCATTCAGTAGTTGTTTCATCTTTTCAGGTCCCTCTACTCACATGGGTTTGTGCAGTTAAACACAATAAATGCAATCCGTTGTGTATTTAAATAACCAGTATTTAGTTGTTTGGATGTATAAAGACATTAAAGCAGACGGTTCCTATTATCTGAATCATGATTAACAAGTTCACTAGTGACCACTGAGACCGTTTACGTCTATGCACCCAAACTGACCATCCAGTATTCCTGTCAGGACCACGATGTATATTGGTGAATGTATTCAAGCTGGAGGCTAAAGTAACATTGGAGAGATAACGAAAACGTGTTGTTACTGTGTAGCCTTACTTTTTGACTTAGTATTACATAAATGATGGATAATGGTGATGAAATGTAGTAGAACATAACACCTTTAGGATGAAATTGTTTCTGTAAAATCCCAGAGCAAAAGCATACTATGTGTGCATTTTGATCTGGTAGCTGATGAAACTGTCTGCAGTATATGATTTGATATAAACCGCACAGAAAACTTCCGTATTTTAGCTGAACTCAACGGTGCAGTCAGTTTTGTGATGAGAACGTCGTTGACAAGTTTGCACGTACTCATATTCTATGTGAAATTAAGTCAACTCTCACAGATAAACGGTTTTGAGACAGTAAATATTGGCGACGAAACATGTTTGGGGTGTGGAAAGCTAGTCTGAGTAGTGTGAAGGTAAAAGTAAGAAAGATAGCGCTGTAACTTTTTAGGATTTCGATTTATGTAGTTGCAGTTGACGTAGGGAGATTACACTACCGCTTTTTTCGTGAGATCTTGAGTATACTTGGTATTTTGGCTCCTATCATCTCGCACCGTTTGTGATACACTCGGGGTATCTGAAAGTTTTGAGTTCACCGTTCTGTAGTATGTGTCATAACGTACTATCGATATATGGTTATTGAGGGTGACGAGCATTTGAGTTCTGTATTTTTCTACTTAAATTTTTAAAGCATTGCCTTCTTCGAGTAGGAGCACTGAACGAACGGTAACTAATTTAAATGTAATAAACCTTTTTAGCCAGCACCAATTTCAGACATAAAGAAAGACTGTGATGTGGCGTCCATCGAGCTCAACTCAGCAATGAGCACAGGTAGACCACATTGCTATTAGTCATCGCTGAAGAGGATCGGTGGAAGACTGCCTCTCTTTCTGGAGTACGTGTTTGGATAGTGATCATGCGTTGGTCAGAGCGCGTATATGCCTGCGTCTCAATGGACGTAGGAAAAATTCGGCAACAAAACCACTACGAGTACTGTTAGACAACGGAAACACCAAAGCCATGTTCAGTGCGAAGTTGGCTAGGCAGTTATCGGAACAAAAGACTCACTCATCCAGAAGAAGCTTGGTGCCATCTTCAGTCTGCTGTGAAAGCAGCGTTGAAGACTGCAGCCGACTCCAAAATAATGGCTAAAATGAGCCAGTGGATATCAGCGGCTTCTTCCGAACTAATGGATGCACGTGAACGCATCTCTGCAGGCTCTGAGTACAAGGAAGAGTGAGCACAACTTAAAAGTAGATTGAGAAAAAGTCTACGCAACGATCGCGAACAGTGGTGGGCAGCGAAGGCTAAAGAGATGGAAAAGGCAGCGGTTGATCGGTAATAGTAGACAGTTATTTAGACTTATTAAGGAGACTGGGGGAAATGGTCAACAACAGTTAGTGAGGCTATAGCGGAGAAGGACTGATCTGCGATTTACTCGCAGGAGAGACGACTGGAACGATGGGCAGAACACTTTGAGGGACAGTTTAACTGACCTCCAGCCACGATTGCGTTGCCCGCTATCCAGTCGAATCCTGAATAGGACATAGAGATAGGTCCCCCAACACTAGAAGAAGTTGAGAAAGCGGTAGGTAACCTGAAACGAGGAAGAGCAGCAGGACCAGATGGACTACCTGCTGAGGTATACAAGAATGGTGGTAGAGTGCTCTTAGTCAGGTTAACGGAAGTTTTAGCTAGTATATGGGAATCAAATACGATTCCCTCCGACTGGTCTAAGTCATTCATTATCCCAGTCTTTACGAAAGGCGAGAAGTCCTCTTGTGATAACCACCGAGGAATCAGCCTGATGAACATAGTATCCAAGATCCTAGGTTCTATAATTCTCCGACGCCTGAGTGGAGCTCGGAAACAACAAGCCCTAGAAAACCAGGCAGGCTTTAGACCTGGCCGTGGGTGTATCGACCGAATATTCAGACTGCGCCAGGTCGTGGAACATAAGCACGCCTACAGACGCCCGACAATACCTGTATTTCTTGACCTGAAGGTGGCATTTGACTCCGTTGATCGAGAAGTCTTATGGCAATGTCTGTCACTGAAAGACGTGCCGAGTAGGTACATCACGTTATTGAAAGCTCTCTACTCGAACACTTGTGGGCACGTTAGAGCCTATGGTGAGTTGTCCAGGGAGCTATACTCATCGAGCGGTATCCGTCAAGGATGCCCACTGTCTCCATTCTGATTCAATTTCATCTTAGATGCTCTTATGCAGGTCTCCCTGTCGTCACCAGGTTACACAGACGTTGACCTAATCACAGGAGAATTTTCGTTAGACCTAGAATATGCAGATGACATAGTCATGTTAAGTGAAGACGCTGACAAGATGCAGAATCTTCTAAACACTTTGAGTGAGAAGTTGAGAATATTTGGGATGCGGTTCTTCCCACCCAGCTGCAAATGTTTGCTCCAGGACTGGTCTTCAACGGCGCCCCACCGCGGCTAACAATAGAGAGTGAAGTGGTTGAGTGTGTCAACCACTTCACTTACCTGGGAAGTAGGATCAACCCTAGTGGGTTAGTTGCTGATGAAATCGCTGCACGGATACAAAAGGATCGATTGGCTTTTGCCAATTTACGCCACCTATGGCGCCGCCGTGATATCCGTTTGTCTATTAAGGGTTGCATGTACTGCCCAGCAGTCCGGTCTGTTCTACTGTATGGCTGTGAAACATGGCCATTGAAGGTGGAAGATATGAGAAGGCTTGAAGTGTTTGACCACCGTTGCCTTCGTAGTATAGGACGTATTCCGTGGTGTCACCACGTGAGTAATGCAGAAGTCAGGTATAGAGTTTTAAGGAGTAGAGGTAAATCAGTTGACAAGGTTATGAACCTTCATCGATTGAGATGGTTGGGACACGTACTACGTATGCCTAGTCACCGATCGCCTCGTCACGTAATGTCGACTGAAGTAGACTGAGGCTGGAAAAATGCCTGAGGTGGCCAGACTAAAACATGGCACCAATGTATGAAGTGTCTGACTGTTGGTTTGAGCCATGTGGAGCGATGCAGATTATGTGGTTAGGGTCAGTGGGACAAGAGGAACCAGTTGGTTGGAGACTCTATGGGATATGGCTGAGAACCGATGTCAGTGGCGCAGATGTATACACACATTATCCTCATCTCAACGACGTTATATCGAATCTCACCATTTTGTCACTCCTCTTTCCTTTCTTCTCATACTTTATATTTCTTTTGACTGCATTCACTTATCTTCATCCTTCACTTCACTACCTTTCTACTTGATGAACTGACGTGAGGTGTGGCAACTCGGACCGTTACTCAGTAATGCCTAGTTCTATGTTGATATTGATGATGATGATGAATAACACTATGTTTACCTGGGTAGTAGGGAGAAATCAACGCATTTCTGGTTGTTATTTATGTCAATGAAGCTGGGGCACGTGTTGTATGAGAAACACCTCAGAATGTCGTAATGAAGTTGGGGCATGGATTCATAGTTTGTGACTGTAGATATGATCGTACAATCTTTTTTTACTTATTGCGAAACATGAAGCTGGTGGCTGAGGATCTAATGTTATGTAGACTAAAATCAGTTTTCGAAAAATCCCGAATGCAATCAGCATGAGCTACAGCTTCTGTGAGACAGCTAAAGACTGATTTTAGCATTTTAGACAGCGTGGGTCAAACCGATTCCCTTTTGAATGTCACAGCGAGACTTCTTGCCTTGGCTATAAATTTGAGGTGATCAACAGTTTAGACCAGTCAAACGGGACTACTTATTATCCATATACATTAACTTTTACCTCAGTTTATTCCTGACCGATTACTACTAACTTATTATGGGGGTCACACTTGACTGTTGCAGTGTCTTATGAGCCATTCTGCCTGGAATGATCACCGTCATAGTGTAAATAGTTTGCACCATAGTGGATGCTCTGTGAGCAAGTTCGTACTACTTGCCGTATGGAATGTGATAATATTACAGTATTTCTCGCAGATGACCAGCATTCCATGCTGATTCTGTTATCACTTATCAAAATGAGGAGTGTAAAAAGTCTGCTTTAAGAACAGATTGCTCCCTATCCTACAGTTTTTCGATGCCGGTAGTATGGAACACAAGCAAACCAAAATCCCAAACTCCTATAAAGACTGTGTAACCGACCTTATATCAGTTTCCCGTGGGCACTGTGGTCACCCGAAGCGAACGCATTTTCTCTTATGAGTGCCTCACGAAAAAAACTTGCGCACGCTTCCAGAAGTATACGAAACCCAGTTGACCGTTATCTACCTTATGCATGCTTGACTCTTCCACTGCCTACACTTAAGTCGGAAATATTTTATTTATTCTATCTCATTGAAGACACTTTTGATCATTTTTACATCATTCGTCTTCTGTCCACCTTTTCATTGCATGCCGCTTTGAAGTTTGATGCCTTCGAACAATGCACTTCTCTGCTAGTTTTTACTGTAGTCTATTTCTCACTTAATTCATTTTCCTACTCTCGTGATTGGAAATTTTCGGTGACAGACTGTCAGACTCTATTGCTTTGTGTCATTTGAAGTTTAAACTAGCCTTCTCAAGTTCGGTTAAAGGTGGTGGGTTGACATCTACATCGTCTTCAGATTTGGGGTGGATTTTGGCAGTTAGACTACTCAAGCGTTCTTCAACGCGTTTCACCTAGCATTCTGTTGGTCTATTGTTGATGGACACCAAGTGAGATAATGTCTCTCCCTGTAATTGAATTAAGTGTTCACTGAGACAAACGATTGTCACGGCAGAATTGGGGGGGGGGCGGGGGACGATCACCGTTTTCAGGTTGTTAGTATGGAACATCGTAGATATCCTCAAGATCTCACTTTTACTACTTGAGTGTTTAAGTCATCCACTGGTATGACTGTGTATAAGGGTTTGGCTTTAAAAAAACTGGTAATTTGTTCTTAACATCGTTTAAATTACAGTCGGTTGGCGCGTTAGCAGACACCGTGAATAGACACAATATTTCTTTCTATTTCTTAGATATCCGTTCAGTCGGACAGTCCAGATATGGTTATCGACTTGTAACAAGTGGCTCTGTCAAGTGAACTATAAGGTAGATGATCCACAGAAACTCTTTAGTGACTGCGACCATGATGTTCAACGAAAGCAATTTATGCTATACGTCCAGTTGTAATGACCACTAGTATTAGCAAGTAGTTATTACGAGCTATAGAAGAGGATTGAATAGTAGTTACCACTCCATATCTGTTTTGGGTAATTAAATCGACTGTTGGACAAAATTTGCTACCTCTCATTATCATGGTTTAGAGTTTTAGTATGCATCAGCAGCATGCCCTCTGTATCATAATAATGGTCCAACGGAGTATTTTTCTCTCTTCATTATCTGCCTTAAACGTAAATAAGCTTATATGTCTCAAACTGTCATAATAAAAAGTCGGTGCAACAAGTTTATTCAGCCTTCTGCTTATATTATAGGACTTGATATCATTCTTAGAAGTATGCTGAATAGAGTCACTGTCTATAAAGGAAGCTAAGAGAGACTTAACGTTTCCGCATGCAAGCATTTAGGGACAGAGAAAAAAAACTAAAGATTAAAACAAGTGCTTTATTATGTATCGGTATTCATCAGTTACTCAGAAACCATTTCTTACTACACTAGAGTCAGCTTTAGTGCACAGTAGTCGTTATGTTGTACAATATACCTATTGATGGTTGAGGTCGCTTTCGGATATCAAGATGCATGTATTGTTTACAAACTTTTATCTTAATTTTACATATTATATTTATAAATAACAAATAATTTACTGGATCTCTAATTGGGTTTTTTATTTTCCAGGGTTTTGGAGTTAACCCCAGTACTCTAGCTGATGATATATCATCAACAGACTCACTAACCAATGTGCCTATCAGTTCACGACCTCATCATATCTCAGCCCTTTCTGAGTATGAATTTAATGATCCCATTGATATTAAACCCCTAAAATTACAGAATATCCATCAAAGTCGGGTTTTGGTACAACAAGATCTGGCCTATCATCAGCTGAAGAACCTTTGCGTCCTTGTCGATCTTACTCATCTGCATCAAGTTCAGTTGGGGGTAACACACTAAGTCGGGCAAGTTCGCCTCCTAATTCAATCGGTCCGTGTTTGTCTGATGTTAAAAGAGAACAGGCTGCTCTTGAAGCTGAACAGGCCGCTCATGATGGTGATGATGAATGTGAAGAAGAGGAGAATGCTGTTGAAGTCGTTTTGTCGAATGAATCAAAGCAAGATTCACCTTCTGGTAGTGAACTGTCTAAACGTTCAATTTTACGGAGTGTATCTTTGAATTCATCCTGTCCGTCTCAAAGTCGTCGAGGTAATCGAGGTGGGAGGTTACACTGTACCCCTTCTATATCTCCCCTTAAGCGAAAAAAGCTGACTCGTGGTTCTAGTCGTAGCACTGGTGTTAACATATCTTCCCATTTGCGTGGTGGGCAGTCTAAAGGAAAAATATCAAGTGAATATAACCCTCTAATGTCTTCCACTAATTACCGGTCCTGCGTAGTGGTAGTGACAGGTATTCTTCAAATGTTTCAGATTCAAAAAGGTCATCAAAAAGATTCAAGAAACCATGTAATCAGTGTGATACGAATTCGAAACCTCAGAAGCGTCAGCGGTTTGAAGAACTATCCAAATTGAATAGTAGTCAACACCTGCAAAATGGATCAAAACATGAAGAATTTCCAAATGAGAATGATTTCAATGATAAAGTCATCTCGAGCAGTAATAACTGCAATATATCTAACAGTCAATGTATCTTCCCTGACGATGAGCTAACTATACATTCATCACCAGATCATAACAAAGAGCAAAAGTGCACTGTATCCTTATCCCAGCCACATCCACGCTTATCAACAGAGTCAAAAAATACTAGTGCAATGACAGACAGCAGTGGAGCTACAGCCCTAGAAATGTCAAGTTAATCAATTTGCCTAGGCGTAATATATGTATATAGGTGGTAGTTACACTACGTGTGTTATTATCCTTCTGATTCTAATCAGTTTCCTGTTTACTTTTTCAACAGGTTTATTGTCTCATTTCCCTTGATTTTTCTTCATTATTACATATATTAGCACGTTGTAAATTGTTTCAGGATTAAAAAAGAAAATGAATGAAATGAAATGTGTTTATGTAAATTTACCATCGATCAGTTTATTCATCAAAGAGAAGAAAATGGGAAAAAAGAAACTCTGGTGCCTTTATAACTACATTATCACATACACAGTCACATAGGCATACCATAGGTTTCCTCCTTTTTTAAAAACTCAAATATCTACTTATCTATCTATTCATATACTGTGTATATATTTTTCTAACTTCCTTAATCTATGTATATATTTATTTATTTCTATAATATTTTACTTTACAAAAGGGAATAAGATATAAAGGTACTCTATTTCAATGTTATTATTTAAGTTTTGCCTTGTTATTACGTATTTATGCGTATATTTCTCAGAAATTCAGTAAACTAGTGAGAATGCTTATCAATTTCATTCCATAGGTTTTGTTTTCTTTCTGTATGTTCCTTTTTTGGAGTAATGCAGACTGTTTTTGAATGGTTTGATTGATCTCAAGTAATAGTTATCTTTCTTCGTGTTAATGTTTATTTTCTTGTTTTGTTGTTACTTTTCTCCTCATTATGTTACCTTCATGCATATATATATATATATATATATATATATATATATATATATATATATATAATTGTAAAGTTTTGATACACAAATGTATAGTTACAATATTATCTAGCACAGTATGTCTTCTGCCTTCTGAACTATTCAAAGTGTTGTTGTGCTTATCCATTATTATCAGTCATTGTTGAATTTCTATAAAGTATCGTGTTAAATTATTCTTCAGATCATGTTTTTGTGTAGCACACACGGGTTTTGATATCTACTCATGGTATAGCTTGTTTTGCTCACTCGAGTGAAAATTTAATTTCTCACTAGTGTTATGTAGTTTAACTGTTATGCAGTTAGGAGAGAATTTTCTTAACATGAACTTATAACTGTGTAGTTCAGGCGCTTATTTATCGACTATTTATTCGTATGTTAATACCCACTTTATCTAATTAAGTATGATCAGTTGAATAGTATAACACAATACTGGGTTATAGCAGACATTTTTTAATAAGTTTATTTACAGCTTTGATATAACAACTGTAGTTACTTTAAGTAACTTTGTTGAACCTTCTACTTGGTCGTCTGTATCATTAATAAGTTAATTTCATTCATCTTTGTGTGTGTTACCATATAGCAGCTATCTCCCGCACTCATTACACTTGTTTTGTAGCTGTTTTCAAATTTTGTAACATCATGAATTTCCTTATGTCTTTAGGCATCTTGCTGTCACCATATGCTATCGACAATCTGTTTTATAGTGAATCGTCAGTTATTTAAATAGCCTAGTTTTGAAGGTCAAATCACCCAGAAGTATATGGAGAGTAATCTAGTAAGGCTAAAAACCCCTGGAACACTGACAGCCGGAACTCCGTTTAGTGTGTTAGTTTTGCTAGTTTAACTTTTGAAACTGTGGTAGAGTGATGCAGTCTCACCAGCCTGTATTTCCCTTCGCTCAGCAAGATATGATGTGATTCAGTTTCTTCCGCTATTTCATATGATGTTCAGATTTTACCTTCAGGATAACATTGTCATACTTAATTGAGTGATGATATCAGGAACATCAGACATTTTTGAGGAAAAGCCACTCACTGAACACTGCCGACTCATAGTTTCAATTGCACTGTTTGGTTAGAAACATGATTTCTTCATTGTATATCCAACGGGAATTTAGATGTTTGTGCTTGGAATAAGCTGATGCGTAGATTTCAGTAGACACAAAAGCGGTATGTTTACTTCCTAGAGAAGAAGCTGTATCTAATTGAAAATTACTGTTTTTATTGCAACAATTGCAACAATATCATTCTAATTCCATTTTATTTTGTTTATTAGATGCATCTCACAGTGGAACAGTATTATTTACTGGATAACCTTTCGGACATCATTTGTCGTCTACATTCACTTGATATGAGTAAGGATGTTATCCAGTAAATGATCCTGTTTCACTGGATGACACGTCTAATAAGCAGACTAAAATAAAACTACAATCTACTACAATACCTAAGCTAGATGGGATTTCGGTGTCTCGATTTAATGTTATTCTAGGAGGAAAGGAGTAACTCCATAACCTAGTACACGTTGATTTACTAGACTGTAAGCATGGTTACAAGTGAGAAAGCTAACGAAAATTGATGTTCGACCAGAAAATTAGGTAGGTTGAATGCTCATCTTTTACTCACTGGTTGACGCTGACTCTATTGAGTTGCGTAATTAAACCTCGTCTGTGTCCGAACTTTACGTTATTTTGGTTGGATTTCAAATGGTTAATAATTCTCTAGTTTACATGGTTGGTTTTAACGATTCTAATACATATCGACTGTTCTGTGTGTCAAGGTGTCAACTTAAGTTATCATCTCTAACTACAATACTTCATTCATCAGGAGGTGAAATTCGTAGGACAAAATGAAGGTGTTAGTTTTCTCTCAGCTTTAATATTTCATTGTTTATATTCCTTCTTGAGAATAGTTGAATTCGTAGGTATTTATTTCATAAAGAAATGCTGAAGTAATCACTTAGTACTTAGATGTCCATGATCAGAAATCAGATCTAGTGTAACATCGAACACTTGTGAAAGAATTTCATTGGTTGATTAAAAATTCGAAGTCTTACTTGATGTTTGCTTTTAATTTTCGTATAAACGATATCTTTAAGTGTTGATACTTTATACTTTATCAATTTGTAGACTATTCAAAAAATAAATCTATTGGAATTAAAAGGATTCCAGGTATGTAACATGTTTCTAATTCTTATCATGAAACTTTTCTTATTTACAATTTATCTATCATCATATATGTTACCGCTACATGCATTAGGTCATTGGTCTCTATGATGCATTCTTTATAGATAATAGAGCTGTTGTGCAAACTTACGAGTGAAGTAGATGTATACCTTGATAGTACTATGTACCAGCATTTAAAACTACAATGTTAAGGACATGTGCTTAACACATAGCCGTCTACTACACATTTTGCTACCCACGTTGTTGTCTTTAAAGTGTATACGATAAAAGTGACTAGTATTTGTCTCACCTGTGTCTCTAATGTACTGTTTTTTTTTTTTTCATTTTTCAATCAATCCATTTATGTCTTGTTTTCCTCTAACAAAGTTTCTATTATCCTAGTGTATAGTGTTTCTTTTAATGCTACAGATATCTGTATAAATTAAATAATGAAATAATTCTAATATTTCAAGTTGTTATTCATCGAAGACTGACATCAGTTGGAGGGACAAAGGAAACCTGGGAGCACTGGACAGCTGTTTCGTCCTAGTATGGGACTCCTCAGCAGTGCGCACCCACGACCCCACCAGCAGGGATCGAACCCGCGACCTTCGGGTTCCGCGGCCAGCGCGTTACCATTGAGCCACTGGGTCAGAATCCAATGCTCCATATTTCCAACTTCTGTTAGCTCACGATATAGCGCAAACCGCTTCGATGAATAACAACTTGAAATATTTCCAAATCTCCACAACCCCCTCAAAAAAAAAAAATGAAATAATTGTATTTTTACATAAAGGTATTCATCTCATAGAATATATTTCATATGTCATATATGAACCGTTTCATTTTATTGCACAGATCTCACAAATTGCTGCTGATCCAACAGGACGTTTTGTTGCATTATGTGGGTGAGTTATGTGTATGTGCATTCAGCATATTTTGTAGGATTGGTTAGATTGTAACAAGCATGTATGATTTCTTATTTGCCTCGGAAATATATAATAACAGATGAAAATATATGTAGGTATGCATGTATTTGTGTATGTGTGTGTGTATGTATGTGTCTATATGTTTGTATGTCTGTGAATTTTGGTTCATTTTTATGCATTATTTTACCTCAGGCTGCCGTCATGACAAACAGTTTAGACTGTTTGGATTGTTAATAATTAATGTGGTTGTTTTATAGTTATGGTCGGTAGTGACTGATAGTGGAATCGAAGACGTACATTTTGTCCTATTTAGGGACTTACTAGTTGGATTTACTTGTCTTCTAATGAATTATGTTGTTTCCGCCGAGACTCAAAGCCAGTACCACTTTTTTTCAAACATCTAGTGTTATACACTAAACCAGTGAGTTACGAAAGCCATTCTTTCTGTGACGGGTGACTCACTTCAGTTTTTATTTCAATTTTCAGATTATAAAAAGTGTAGACAATTAAAGGAATGTGTTCTTCATCGATAACGTCTCATCGTTTGCCTAAGTAGTATAACCTTAAGCAGCAATCTTAAAGATCAACGTCATTAGGAAACTTTGAGGAGGTATTGTCCTTAAACCTATCTTGTAGGTGATCATTTCCTACTCCATTTTTTCAGTAGTGTCCATTATAGTTCGGTTACCAAAGGCAGATAGCCCCAAGAAACGTAGAACCTGGCACACAATACATAGGCTCAAGTTGCAAACTTTATAATGGTACACAAAGAACAGGTGGATAGAAAAAGGGTGATATCAAAGTAGACAATGTTGTGTGGGAGAATGAGCAATTTGAAGACAACGGTTAGTACAAGTATTAAACCTCTAGGAGACGCCATGGAGTGAATAAATCTGCGCCATAGTGACCATGTCACTAAGAGTCAGTCCTCAAACACTGATTCCTATCATCTCGAGGACCCCAGGTAGACAGTCTACACCTGTCCATGCGGTTTAGACCAACAGTCATATCTTGGTCTAGCTACTCTGAACCCTTTTTCAACCTAATCCAACTTCACTTTAGCATGACATTTCTAGGTAGGTGGTGTGTTGGCATGCATAGTACATTCGCAAGCCATCTCAGTCAACTAAGGTTCACAGCCTTGTCAATCGGTTTATCCATCTTACCTGGTACCCTTTATCTGACTTTAACGTCGCTCACACGGTGATTTCACCAAATTTGACCAATGGCACTAAGGCATCTGTGATAAAAATCCTGTAATTGCCTTATATCTTCTGTTTTCAATAGCCATACCTCAGGCGTATAACAGGAAAAAACTGACTGCAGCACAGTATACTCCTTCTTTGACGCAGTCAGATATCTCACCTGCGCCATAAATTTCAGGCGAATGGTGTAACGTCATTTGTATAGTGAACTGAGGTCTATCGTTTTTAACATTGATGTTTGAGTATTGATATTTTCGAGTCCAATCGTGGACATTGGCGTGATGTATCTTTGGCACACAGTAGTTTCCCTGTGAATGGTTCTTGTCGGAAGAAAGCCAGAAGAAAATTAATTATTGATTTCATCTGTTTAATGAAAGGTTCTTTTAATGGAGTAATGATTATTGTAACAGACAGTGGATACTCATTTGCTAGAACAATGATGAAACTTATTAACAATAAACTGAAATCTTTGGGAAGTATCTATGTTTTCTCACCAAGTAGAAGCCTGTTGATTTATGTATATGCATTTCAGTAACGATTTCAATTCAACTGAGACTCGAACCCAGTACCCTCCGCTTTAAACACTAGATCGTTATCCACTAAGCCAGTGGGGCACGATAGCCACCTCTCATTGCAACGAATATCAGTTGTTGTAATGATATTTGTAATTGCAGTTGCTATACAGGGCCGAACTGCTCGACTTTTGTTGGCAGATGGGCTCCTATGCGGATGTCTCGATACTGCTGGAAATTCATGATATATTGATCTTGGTGACTAGTAGAGGAATCCAGGATACGCATTTCCTCCTACAATGTTCTACGAGATCTTAATCTTGGCAAGATCTTAGCTTCACCTCATGTAACAACAGATTATTTCCTAAACGAAAAGCCTGAGCTTAAATAAAATCCCGGCTTACTTTTAGTAGTCATGTATGCTTCAGCTAAAGAATGGACAAATAAGTTTCTTCGTAGAAATCGTAGTTTTTAGTGTAACTTGTGTAGCTGACAAATCCACACTATTGATACTTACCCCGTGTCTTACGGTTACTAAACGGTGAATCAGTTAAAATAATAGGATTAGTATTGACTTAGATTATGTGTTCATTCATTGATATATCATGAGAGATGTCTTTAAGGTCAAAATCGAGATACACTACTCATAATGAAGATAACAGGAGACTTCCTTGTTTTAGAGGTCATACGCCATCGGATGTTGTCGTTGCTCTAGATACCGTGAAAAAGTTACAGTTGTTTTATTTAGGTTTACTCGGATCCAGGGTAGCGTAAGCTTGTGATAAACGTTACTGAGCTTTTCTTATTTTCGTCGAGTTTTAAGCGAGAGAGAAATAACATGGTTTTACAATGTAAACATAATTTTTTATTGTCAACATGGGATTCTTAGATAACAGTTGGGAGGTTAATTTGTCTGAATGATGAAAACATGGTTTTGTTGATGACACCATCTCATAATTTACTATTGACTTCAATAAGATACAGAAGTAGTTAGAAAAGACAACTTTCTGCTGAGTAATCTTAGATTGTACCATGGTTGGTAATTTCTCAGAACAAATCAATAGATTGGAACACAATTAACTTTCTCATCTCATCTTCAAATGTTTATATCTTCGGCGTACCCATGAAGTAACTTACCTTAATTTACGTAAGATTCTAATTGATAAAAATATAATAGAATGTTAGATGAATCAATAACGATTGATTAATTGAAAAAAATATTTTTATACTGCTCTCATTTAAAAAAAAGTTGTACTGAGTTTTATCATTGTGATAGTCATGTGTTTTAATGACAATAAACTAGTAGCCAATAGTTTTACTATTTGTTGTGTTTATGAATCCCGTTTCTATATGTTTTCAACCTTATTAAAGATTCCCATAGAATTGATAAAAGGCAACAATGTGGACGAATAATATTCTTTTGAATAAATTCTCTTTAGGTTCTACAGTTGTAAAATACATTTGTACAGCGTTAAAGCAAGCTAAGTTTGAGCTGAATACGCTTTCAAGGTGGAGTGACATTTAGGGACTGTAGGTATATATATATATATATATATGTGAGAAATGCGATGGTGAACGAAAAGGCAACGAACTGATTATCTACATTTTATGCGTGCTCCTAGTAGTGTATCAACATAACAGTTGTGTTTTTCGGCTTTTTTGTTCACCCATTCAGAATCAACGAACTCGTATTATGTCCGCTGAAACAGCCTTCACATTATAGCGCATTTTCTCTGCCTTCAAAATCAGGATGTTCGGGACTTGCTTGGCGTCCAAATGACCATACTAAACTTGCAGTCGTGGTAGGTTATTTATGTCTCTGTTTATCCTTTTTTTTCCTATTTATTTAGATAACTTTTGGAGAAACTAAGGGATTGTAGTGGTTTTCTTCCTTCATAAAATATGTTCAACCTGGTTATGAGAGATCACTGGGAAATTGAGGATTCCAGACATTTGTGTTGTGATAATTGTTGGCCTCTGCATTCTTGTACATTCGTAGCCATAGATCGACTCAGACCTAGGATGTGGCAAATACCATTTTCGTTTTAATTGGCGGTTTGTAGGGACTAGCTGATTTTTTCAGCAGTGGTTATTTATGAGGAAGCAATCTCAGAACTATCAGACATCGTTACCATTCAACCACTTGACTGGAATATAATCGTTCAGAGTATTTCTTCTGTAAACTGTCGATTTAACATGGCTATCACCGAATGATGCTTCCTTTTTGACCCACTTATTGCTCGAGGTTGTTCTGTATTCAGTATAATTAAATAATGAGCATTTTACTTGTGGAAGAAGTCAGTCGAATTAAAATAAGTGCTCTATTTACTTGTTCTAGTATGCAACTTCTTATCAAGACACTTCTCTGGACTGTTGTTTGGCTTTAGGAGTTTAGAATTTTGTTAAACATCCGTTTTTTATATCGGAGTTTGTGATAAGACTCTGAGATTGTATTGTATCTTACTATATTCAGTCTAATGTCATAGTATGAGGTGAATTCCGTCTTTTAGTTAGTTGTATTGTGAATTAAATATCACTTAGATACGGAATTGGTTACACAAAGATGCCTTGATGCTGATTGTTTACATTATTTGCATTTTTGTTTGAAAATTGAATTTCATTACTTGTTTTACTAAGTTTCTAATCTCTTGAAGTTAAATAGTATTTTTCTTAATCTGAGACGAATTATATATATGACCAAACGGTGATGTGCACATGTATCATACTACCGGTATCCGCCATGTTGCCATGTAAATTTAGTGTAGCGTAACTGACATTATTTCTTCCAAATAGTCTGTCGAATTGAATAGATAATTTTGAGCCTAATTCTAATTGATCATTTCATTTATTGGAATAATTTCTATATTTATTTGAACGCTTGGCGAGACTGAAGGATGCACTGGATTCAAAACTACGACCTGAACAGGCAGGCTTCAGGAAGTACAAATCATGTACAGGCCAAATTGCAACGCTTCGCATCATCATAGAACAGAGTATAGAATGGCAGTCAACTCAACTCTACCTCAACTTCATCGACTTTGAGAAGGCCTTTGACAGCATCGACCGAGAAGTAATTTACCAGGCAGTTGCTTCAACACTACGGAATACCACAAACCTTTATCAATCTCACTCAACAACTATATGAAGATGCCACATGTCAAGTAATTCACGATGGGAAGCTCAGTGATGCTTTTAAAGTGAAGACAGGAGTGAGACAAGGCTGCTTACTATCACACATGATCTTCCTGATTGTAGTGGACTGGATCATGCAGCAGACAACAGTGAGGAACGAGAAGAGGGGATGCTCTGGCTGGACCGGGTAAAAGAACCTACAAGATTTAAATTTCATCGATGACTTACGTCTCATGTCACACAAACTTGATCTATAGGCGAAAACTAACAAGTGGGCAGAAGAGGCAGGGCAGCGAAGACGGGACTTCAAGTGCATATTGAGAAGACAGAGGTGATGAAGATACCCAAACAACAACAACAGCAACAACAAGAGGCACCAATCCCCACCAATGGGAGAAACTTAAAGGAAGTAGCCTCTTTCTCCTACAGGCGGCACAGACTAGGACGTCAAAGCAGCCAGTATCGGAAAAGCAAGACAGGTGTTCATTAGCCTGAAACCAGTGTGAACATCTTCTACACTCAGCATAAAGCGTGAACAATATCTGGACTTTCAACACCAACGTCAAATCAGTGCTCCTGTATGGTTCAGAGACTTGGCGTGTTACGAAAGGCATTTCTAACAAACTACAGACATTCATCAACAACTGCCGCCTACGCTGCCTCGTTACTGAAGATCAGTTGGATTGCCAGAATAACAGGAATAAGCAACAAGGAACTCTGACTGGTCGGGCAACGAACCAACGAAGCAACAAGCTATCGCTGAACAAATCTGCACTGGAAGGAAGTGGAGATGGATTGGACGCAGCACACACTGAGAAGGCTGACTGGAGACATCACGCGTCAGGTCAGACACTCGAGTGGAAACCATATGGGAAGCGACACGTTGGGTGTCTGAGGTGAGGTTGACATGGAGGAGATCATGTGAGGAGGAAATGAGTGCTTGTGGGCTGTTGTGGAGCTAGGCTGAAAAGATTTCAGAGAAGAGAGTGGGATGGAGACTTGCTGCTGAAGCCCTATGTTTCACTAGGAACCCAAGGGACAAATAATAAAAATAATAAGATGATGATAATAATAATTTATTCGAACGAAATAATGACCACTAGTGTCAGTTGCGCTACATAAGGCTTACATAACAACATACTGGATATCGGTAGTCCAATTTTATTCACTGATGTCTACAAGATATAAATTATTTTTCGTGTTTTTATTTGTCAGTCTACAAAACACAGAGTAGTTAAAAATGCGCATAATTTCTATCGCATTGCATTCAGTTATTTTGTTAGGAAGTTCTACTTTCGCTTTGTCAAAATATATATGATATGTTGGTCAGTAGAACCAATTCTAGTTGTAATTTATAAGTTTCATTTTCACTGAATCCTATTAAAAAAGAAAGTCGTATGTTGCACATTGAAAGCACACGCTTCCTATGAAGGCAGGCAGCTTATTCATTTTCCACCTGGTGAAAGTTATCTAGAGGCCAGTTAAATGGTGGATATAGGCCTCTTCATAAATATGTACAAGATCTTTGTTGAACTCAGGTGGATGACCTAGTGATTAGAAGTTGAGTACCAGAGCAATTGGTCGAATGCTTCATCCATTTAATCTTTTCAAGATTTTCTCCCAACCGTTTTTTTACTACTACAAGAAATGGTCATTGACCTTTTATTTTGTCAAAAATTCACAAGGTCACATTGGAACTTTGTATATACTTTCTCTATTATCAAAAAGTGACCAAAGTTTGTATAGGCCTTTATTTTTCTGAATTATATGCATGTTAACTAGAATAAGCTGTTTCTGAATGAATAAGTAATGATTGTGCAGAAAGTTCTTCACACATAAGAGATAAACAATCAATCAATCAATCATTATCAAGATAGGACCAGGCATTACTGAGTAACGGTCCGAGTTGCCACACCTCATATCAGCACATCAAGTAAAAAGGTAGTGAGGTGAAGGATGAAGATAAGTGAATGCAGTCAAAAGAAATATAAAGTACGAAAAGAAAATAAAGAGGAGTGACAAAATGGTGAGATTCGGTATAGCGTTGTTAAGATGAGGATAATGTGTGTATACATCTGCGCCACTGACTTCGGTTCTGAGCCATATCACCTAGGGTCTCCAACCACTGGTTCCTCTTGTCCCGTGGACCCCAACCACCTTGTCTGCATCGTCCCACATGGCTTAAACCAACAGTCAGACACTTCATACATTGGTGCCATGTTTTAGTCTGGCCACCTCAGGCCTTTTTCCAGCCTCAGTCTACTTCAGTCGACATTACGTGACGAGGCGATCGGTGACTAGGCATACATAGTACGTGTCCCAACCATCTCAATCGATGAAGGTTCATAACCTTGTCAACTGATTTACCTTACTCCTTAAAATTCTATACCTGACTTCTGCACTACTCACGTGGTGACATCACGGAATACGGCCTATACTACGAAGGCAACGGTGGTCGAACACTTGAAGCCTTTTTATATCTTCCACTTTCAATGGCCATGTTTCACAGCCATACAGTAGAACAGATAAACAAGGTTCACCTTCATTCACTTTAAATAATCAGGGACTGAACCACTGATTAGTAGTACTATATTTGTAAAAATTATAATCTACACATTTATCATTAGTACTGTTGTTTTAACAGTTTTCATTAAAACTGATAAATATTATCTGTATACATTATCTGATGTTTTTTATTTTCTCCTAGCGCTCTAATAAGTGTGAATTACTTCTTTGGGATGCTAATGAATGTCGTTTAAGTATGAACGCTAGCTTAGGTGGATATGTACGCGTGATTAATTCATTGGATTGGAGTCCAATTCATCCGTTTCTTTTGGCCACGACATCTGCAGATCAATTTCGTGCTATTTGCGTTTGGGATATACGAGATTTATCTCGACCAGTTCGAGCTATGGAATCTCTTTGTAAGTATATATCACAGTTGATTAAGAGTTAGGCTTTTTTAATGTTAACATTTCCACTTCTAACTGAAGTATGTTTCAGTGTTTACAATTTAAAGCCTTTTGTGTTTCGTTGTTATTCATGGTTATATCTTCAATCTGATTTAATTAAGTATGAGAGAACTTGAGCACTGTATTTGGTTTGAACCTCACTCCACATATTTCAACCTAAGCGACTGGATGCTTTCATAAGCTCTCACACAACACGTGTGGCTTATAACCGAGTATTAGGTTGAACTGCATTGACTATTGTTTACTGTTACCTAGTGTAATTCGGTATTCATTCGATGAGCGTCAACATAGGGTCTTGGATTACTATGCGGTGGCCGAAGTTGCCGCGCTTCGTACCAGCAAATCAAGGAAGGGGGTGGCAAGGTGAAAGATAGACAGATAAGGAAGAAAGTCATGGAAAGAGAGCTATGAGGAATGAGACAATACGGAAACTCCGTGTGACGATTTAGATGAATATAATGTACCATTGAAATCGATTCTGAGGCGTATTTTCTACAGTCTCCGACTGCCGATTTCGGTTATCACGTTCACCTCGTCCGGGAAGTCTACATTTATGTTCACAACTCAAACCAGCAGTTAGTTAGCCACCTAGATATTAATACAAAGAGAATTTCTATAAATGGTTAGTTAAATGATGTAATTATGTTGTAAAAGCCAGCGTTATATGGTTTTCCAGAAATCAGTTGATTCATTTGCTTGACTTTCTGACTGAGAAATAGTGGTGCATGTGAACGGCACAAAATTAATGCTAAAAGAACCAAGCTAAAAATATCATTCAGCATTTTCTTGTCATCATTCACTGTAATCTTCAACTAATTACTGTACTGTGTACTAATAGCATTGTTGTTTCTGTCGTTATGTAGCCAAAAATCAAATAAACATTTAGTTTATCCTACAGTTCTTTTCTATATTAATAATCTATACATTTTAGAGTTCCATTCCTAGTAGCTAGTTGCGATTATAATTAATCATGTTTATAAATAAATAGAAGGGGAAATGAAGGCAATTATTATTACTATTATTATTATTATTATTACCATTAGTAGTAGTAGTAGTAGTAGTAGTAGTAGTAGAACAATAATTTTCTGTATAAAACAAAACTGTACCTACAGTTAATTTAATCTGTAATTATTACTTTTATTTCCCATTAATCTCCTCACTTTCTACACTCATCATTTTATTCCGCCTTTGATGTTCACTTTTCTGTTTTTTTATTTATTCTAGGAATCTGTTCAGTATCTATACCCATTGTAATTTTCATGGATGAATCATCATGTCCATATTCATTGATATTCGTGTTTTGAGGTTGTTTCTGACCCCTTTATCTCTTTCTCTCTATCCATATGTCTTGATCATATCTTTTAAGATTTCTATTTCCCGGTTTTTTTCAACAAAACTAAATGATCAACATTTAGGCATCAAATGAAGTAATAATATCGTTTAGATGTTGGTTTCAAGAATTCATCACCGATTGTAGGGTGGATGTATTGGTCTTGTCTATGGCGCCAAGCGCTGATCTAAGTCTGTCTATCAAATTAGCTATATATGACCACTAAGCATAGTGACGCAACACTATCTTTTTGTGCTGGCTGTTACATTTCAGTTGTGAATAAGACGTATAGATTTACTGTGACAAGTTCGAATCTTTCAAGTTGATATTCATCATGGACTGACATCAGTTGGAGAAACATTGGGAATCTGGAAGCACTAGATAGCAACAGGAGGATGGACAAAGAGGGGGAAAACAATAATTTTATGAACAGCCCTTAGAAACCATTTTATGTATAGGAAAGCAAATAAAAAGGATAAGAATAGATAATACGATGATATAGATGATAAATTGTGTCTGCTTTTATGCCATTGCTATCAGTTTTGATTGATAGTACAGTTAGTCAGTTAGTGTAATTAACACACTCTCTTAGTTGGATTACTCAACATTCATTAAGATAACGCATAATGTATTCGGAAGTAGTTGTCGTTGAATTATCTTTTTCAGGTATTAAAACCAGTATGCCAACTTAAGATAGCTTGAAAAGACATTAAGGGTTTCACACTGAGATACGGTGAAGAGAGGGGCAATGGAATAGTCATATTTACAAATAATATCATTGATGGACATCTCAGTATGTAGTTTTTTTTAAAACCCTTTGTATGTGTTTCCACCTGATATTGTGTACTCTTTTTCTCTAATTTTCACCAGTCGATTCCTATCACTTTTCACCTCCGGCAACATCGAACTGTATACTACTTATATTCTTCTCATAAGTATCTTTCATCTCAACAATACCCATTCGTGAAGTTGTAGATTGTTAGTTTGTGAATCATAAACTATTCAACTGTTGTCTGCAAGATGTTAGAAATTAGATATTAAAAAATCTATGAGGAAATAGCACAAACTGTTTCACAATGATGTAGATGCATACACTCGGTTTTTATTTTCTCTTAAATATTCTTCATTTATCCGTCTCTCATTCATCCACTTCCTTTTTAATACTTATTCTAACTGTATCCTACTTTTTTCCTTTCTTATGTTCTCTTATTCTCTTGTAAATTGAGGCAACTTGAAATGATTCACTTTTGTGTAATTTCCTCTACATTGTTTTGTTTGTCTGTTTATCCTTCATTTATGCGTAGAACTCTTTGGAGACAGTACGGTATAGTATAGAATAGATAAATGATTCGAATATTTTATAGCTGATATTTCTCAATCAATCTATTTAAGATCTGAATTTACCTAAAGACTTATATTTTCATTTGATATTTTCAAAAAATATTCTAACGGTTTTTGTAATGATACTTATAATTTCTCGTTGCTTTACAGGGCCGAATTGCTCGACCTCTGTTGGCAGATGGGTTTCTATGCGAATGCCTCGATACTACCGCATATTTATGATATTATATCAATCTTGGTGACTAACAAAGGAATCCAGGACGTGCCTTTCATCCTGCTTGGGAGTCGTCAGGTAGATGTATCTGCATCCCAATGAGTGATGTTGTTCCCACTGAGGGTCGGACCCAGTACTCTTCGCTTCAAACACCAGAGCGTTATCCACTAAGTTGTACATCCTGGTTTCCTCTGTTAGTCATGAAGATCAGTATATTCTAACAGTTGTGTTAAGATCTTGATTCAATCGATTGAAGGTTACCTTATCCATGTTTATTTTAGCCTCACCGGTCATTGTAAAATGGAATCGATTTCTGGGTGGAAAGTTTGCAACCTGTCATTCATCAGGTATTCGAATATGGGATTTAAGGGTAATATTTGTAGTGAAAATTAAAATTTTCTAAAAACAGTTTTTATTATTATCTTGTTCACATTTTCTCTTCAGCTTATCATTTTCGCTTGTTTTAGTAATACTTTTTCCTATTGGGAAATATTTTTTTCCCCAGTGTGTAGATATACGCTAATTAATTATAATGACATAACTCACACTTCTGATCATCGGTATGCTACTAAAGCTACTAATAAATGTTTTCTATTGTTAAGATTTCTTGCGAATTCTTGTTCTTAGTTATATGAATATATTGATTGTGTTGTGTTATTCATTCCCTCCAGTAGGATAAAGAAAACAATGCTGTCATAACATAGAAGGATTTGACTACTTTCAAAGTATTGACTGACAAAATCAGCGTAGAATCTCGCTCACAGGTGCATCGGTTCAGGTTGATAAACTTTATAATAGTATACAAAGAACAGGTGGATAGAAAAAGAAGTGTATCAAAGTAAACAATGTTGTGTGAAAGAATAAGTGATTTGAAGACAACGGTTAGTACAAGTATTAAAACTTTAGGAGACATCAAGGTGTGAATAGATCCGCACTACTGACCGATTTTCAGACATGTGACTGAGAGTCAGTCCTCAGTCACTGATTTCTTTTGCCTAGGGGACCCCAGGTAGACAGTTTACACCTCCTCAGACCAGTAGTCAGAAGTCTCATCTACTGGTACTAGGTCTTGATTTGGACACCCTAAGCCCTCTTCCAACTTCATCCAAGTTCTTCTAGAACCGTACTTGAAAGTAGACGATAGGTAGGCATGCACAGTATATGTTGAAACCATCTTAGGTGACTAAGGTTCATAGCCTTGTCAATTGACTTGCTTAGTGCCCTTTACCTGTCCTCAACATTGATCACACGGTGATTTCACTAAACCCAATCACTGCTTTGAAGATATTTTCTATCAAAACTCTGTAATTGCTTCATATCATCTACTTTTAACGACCATGTCTCATAGGCGTATAACAGAACAGAATGAACTACAGTGCAGTATACTTTCAAAGTATTAGGAGTACTTGGATTGATAATCGATTGTGTTTTAAGAGTGATTTCAAAATTCTCGCATTCTTATTATGAACAGTGCAGAAGTAGTTCTGTTAATTGATGTCAGATTGGAAATTATCAGTTGTTATACCCGCCGATTGGAAAGATTGTGGCATTGACGAATTATCTGTTGGTACATTAAGATCGACTATTACCCAACAAATATGCAGAAGAAAGTGGAGATGGATTGAGCATATACTGAGAAGGCCAACTGGGGACATGATGCGTCAGTCCCTCGAGTGGAATCCAAAAGGGAAACGACTATAGTTGGCGTCCGAGGCGAGGGCGACATGGAGGAAATCATGTGAAAGAAGAAATGAAAGCTTGTGAACAGTCGTGGTGCCAGGTTGAAAAGACTACAGAGAAGAGTGTCCAACAGAGGGTGTGCCACTGAAGCCCTATGTTCCGCTAGGAACACAAGGGAAAAATAATAATAGATCGGAATGTACACTACTGCTATCTACTACTTTCCTAATAACAGTTGTTGGTATCTTAGTTCTCAAGGATTTATAATATCTCTTACAACAACTAAATAACAAAATAGATCGTGTCTCATTAATAATATTTATTTACTCTACTTACATTTCAATTTCAGCCTTTAGATCTAAGGAATTGATAAAATGTAGTATGGAATACGTGTATTAAGCTTATAAAATCTTAAATTAGTTTTTAAATTGTGTCTTGTACTTTGTTTCACATTTAATGTGTTGAACGTGCCAGTATCAGTGAAGTTGGAATGCTTTACTCAAGACTTTGTTTGTTTGTATTCTGGTATTGGTATGTATTTATTTATATATATGGTATAATCATCTTTTACTAGACACCACGTTTAGTTTATTTTCTAAGCTTAATATACACTTAAGAAGGTATGATATGTGTAACTATTTCCCGCTTAATGTCTTGTAGACCTATGACTAATTGGTTTAGGGGGATGACTTCTAACCACCTAGTCATGAGTTCGAACCCCAGTTTAATGACCGAGTTTTGGGCAGTCAATTAGTATCATTAAGCTTCCTCATACGAATATGCACAATGATTGTTGAGTGCTTTTCGATACTATTTTGAATTGATGTCTTATTCCATATACGTAACATATTTTACAGCTAATTAAGCTGTCATACTGGAATTATTAGAGCGAAATAGGTGGGTCATAATGATTAACTAGTTCAAAAGGTTGTACTTGAACTATACTGATTAGTAGTTATGATAAAAACTGTACAAATCTACAGGAAGCGTTTGGTATACTTTGAATTAAATAGTTTCCAGTTAAAGTATCATTTGTTTATAATGACTTGTATACCTATGTACTACTGGAATTCTTTGTTGACGTTTTCTTGTTGCTTATTTCTTCCCATTGACTTTTGTAGACCATTGTCCCAGAGCAATATCTCACTGTTCAAGGTGAACATGTGAATGATTTTGATTGGTCGCCTCAAAATGTCAATCATCTAGTTGCAATTAGTGATGATCCACAGTTATGCATATGGGATATTGAAAATGCTTCATGTCCAGTGAAAAAGATTCGATTACATGAAATTAAAATGAAGAAAGTATTATACACTGTACGTTGACTAATATGATTTACTTAGTTTTCAGTTAGATATTTTGATTGTTAAGGCATCTTTCTTGTGAAGATGTTCAATTAATTCATTACTTAATGCATTGACTTCATTGTGTTATGCATATGATGCATAACTTTCAGCAAATCAAGCTTTTAAACTCTAACTCGTTCATTTTGATAACTTTCAGTTTGTTGATTGAATAATTGTGATTTTTTAAGGCTTAAAACAATAAGTGACTTGAATCCCGTTTTTGCCTCACACAGGCCTAAATTTTGGCCACTGAATCCCCTGATATGATGTTTAAACTGTATTCGTTAGCTACTACTTGACTAACCTTTAGCAAGTAATTTTGATCGATTATGCATATCTTCAGACCCTACTAGATCGATTACCCTTAGCCGTTTATTTAGTGTACTCGAAGTTTCGTTAAGTCTTTTACAGTATTATATTTCTATAGAAGATGTGTTACATCCCCTATTTTTTACTATCTGCAGATATCTTCAAGTGTCTATCTTTGTTCTGACGTTATACACTTACAAATAATACTGTGGCACATTAGAAGTAGTTGTAATACGATTAGTTCTCAACCTTGAGTCTTAACATTTCAGATTGTTTCCAATATAACCTAAATTGGGCTATTTTAATCGTGTTTTTTGGTATGATCTAACATTTGGATTGCTTTCTTACTATTTATATTGATGGGAATTCTCTCATCTTTTAAGGTTCTCTCTATTCTAACTTCTGTAATACTAAGGTTAAGAATAAGTCTACTGTTTCACCTGATTACTACACTTTTAAAACATTTCTTGATCTTTTATTATTTAAGGCTAATGGTACATCGTTGGTAGTTTTTATTTTTACGTGTTTTTTTTTCACGAAAGTGTATTTGAAAAGTTAACTGACTCACTTGTGATGTTTAGTTTTGAGTAAAATCTTTGTGTTACCATGCGAATTGTATCAAGTCATAGATTCAAAGAGGGCTGACTAGAGATGACTTGGTGATCTGTACGTTGCAAGTTGAATACCTTAACCAGTCACTCAAACTCACTGTGAAACTCAGCAACGCTTCACATGGAGTTACTCATTACTCTTGTAATGATATATATATGCTATTTTGCGAGGGATTATCTTAAGTGAGAAGTCTCAGTAAACGGAGTGCATGACATTGGCCAATTTGACGGAGAGTGCTGACATTGAAGGCTCCAATGTGCAATTTGTAGCGTGGTTTAAGGGGGCCAGTGATGCTATTTTGTGGACTCAAATCGTTGTCGAAAGCTGTAGAGCTAGAAGGAATTAAAGATGATGTAGGATTGTTAACTGGGAGACGTGGAGGAAGATAAGAAGGTAAGGATTGGAGAGGGGGATAGTGGTTTGAAGGAACGTGAGTACTAAGAGAGTTGTGTGGACGATTGAAACTTCCTGGCTGCTCACACCGTGGAAGGCTAGGTCTTCTCGAGGTACCTGAAAAATAACTGTTAGTGCATGATCACAGAACCCATGGGACATCTACTAAAGGCCAGTTACGTACGGTCTTTTTGATGCCACGAAAGTTGGCCTGTATTATGGAAGGTGTGGGCGGACAAACGTCCTGTGGTTTCGCATCATCACTGACGACTGATGACTGGTCTAAGCCATCATGATGCGTCATTTCATTTTTTAAGAACATATTAAGGGTAAAGGTAACTGCTTTCTGTCTAACCAATATCCTACAGACTTTTCTGATATGGAAGGACGTCGTGGGAGCAAGCATTCCTCTAACATAGCTCGTTGGGTCATCGTGATATACAAGCCCAACCACCACTTAGCAGCTATCAGTCGCGACTAAATGTACCAATCACATCGAATCACCTATAGCCAAATCCTGACAATTATGCTATCTCTTCTTGTTCTAATCTGAGATAATTTTCATTTTCTGTAAACCACATCATCGTGATCACAGCATGTACATCTTCCTTTTTTCAACATTTATTTCCAATCTTTCAATCTTTCAGCCTTCTGGTGATCATATTGTGATTCTACCAGAGCAATCCTATTGGTCAACTCATGGGATAACAGTATGGACCAGTTCTAATCTAACACAGTCTCATGATTTATTCCAAAAGAACGATAATAATAATAATAATCATAATAGCAGTGGTAGTAATAGTAGTGATAATAATGGCAATAAAGAATCATCTACTATTACTGCCGCTAATAATATGAATAATGTAACCATATCATCATCATCAGCAACAGCGTTAATAGCCACAGATGACCAATCAACATCTCATAATCACAACACCACCTCCACTAATAATCATTTACGAGACCAACAAGTATATCAAACGCATTGTACAGACTCATATGTTCTAGATATGAATTGGTTGATATTCTCTCCAAATATTCTTCTGCCTATAGATGATTATGAATTGGCGACAGCAAATTTTCAACTGGATAATGAAATACAAACAGTTAACCAAAGTGTAGACTACTGTCCTAGAAGTAGGTTAATCTATATATTATTTGTTAAAATAAATCATCTCGTTGTTTTTGCTTGCTACTTGTTTTTTCTTCTTTATTTCTCCTGTCATTTGTCTTTACTAGTTTTTTTTTCTCTAGAAAAAAAAATAAACGTTTATTTTAATACCTGTGTAATTACTTTGTATATTGTGTTCCTTGTATGCATTCACTCCAATATGCGTCAGCACCGTTAGTGTTTTTGTTCCACCGTGAAGTATTTGATCATATTTCAAACTTATATTTGTAATACCCTTAACTCAGTCACTGAAAACACATAACCTTTATTTTTATCTCATGAAATATTGGTATACTTGAATAAAGTTTAACATTTCTTAAGATTCATCTTATTTGTGCAATAACTATCTTCCCTGTAATATGTTCAAGTTATAAAGCTTATTAAGTGTATGGCTGAAAAAGGTTTACACGAATTTTTAAAAAAAAACAGTGCAAAACACATAAGCCTGTAGGCGATAAATACGACTTCAGTAATGAGATTTCTAATAAGAAAAGTAGTGTACATGAAAAGGATTGATTTTAAACTGTTTCATCTCAAGCAAGCAGAATTACCTCCATGTTTTTTTTTGCTGTTGCACGATGGGATTAGCATGTGGGAAATGTTAAAGTTAGTGGGTAACAAACTAAACAGGGAAGGTTGTAAATTTTCAGCGACTGCAGTAGTTTAGATGCGTACTATGCATGCTAAGCCACAGCCTAACTTGAAATGCAATGATGGTCAGCGTAAAGCACAACACTGGTTAACGAAGTCTTTGGCTATCAGTTTGACCCATATAGGCAGGTGTAGATTGCTTGATTAGGATCTTCAAGACGCTAAAAATCAAAAATTGAAGACTATAGAGCTACCTAACTATGGATAGCAGTCTAAAATTGTTGTTATATACTCTATCAAGCATAATTACACATTATGAATTAGTCATACGTATTATTTTATTGTTTTGGGTCTACTTTATTACATTTTTATGCTTTGAGATTATAATTTTCTATCGGTTACTATTTATTATGTATATAATATTCCAATGATCTAACCTGCAAAGGGTTATAAGAACTTGTACATCATACATAAGTTGACAAGATATAATTCTAATTGAAGTTATCTTCGAATTGTAGTAATTTCATTTTGCAAAATCGTTTACCAAAAAGTGAATAACTTTACACGTCGTTAATTCATAACACTGCAACAGAACAATGAATAGTGATTTTAAAACTATTACTTGTTCCAATTCCCTAACGCTACCATTAGAAAGTCAGAGAAAGATAAATAAAGAAGAAATGGCCACAATGTTTTCTGGTGTTCCACTTGATGATGATGAAAGCAAAAGTTCTTGTGTATTCATGAATTTCTACAAAGAAATGAATCCCTGAAAAATGTGTTATGAAGCCGCATTAATGATTCTACAGGCAGTTATTGAATTGTCTGATTAAGAAAAATCAAACTTATGGTATTTTTCAACCAATTTTTTGGAAGAATATTGTTCTTCTTGACATATAATGTACACACTGTATAATTTTTTCATTGATTTTGATAAATGATCATAATGACACTGATTAAGTTGAATAGTTTGTACTTTAGCGGTTTAGTGCATCGATTCAAGCTGTCATATGTCGATGATACAAAGTTCAAAGGTGATATGAATTACTGGAGCTATCTGTAGAGAATTTCTTGAGGCAGAAATGGAGTAGGTGACTGGTTTTTTAATCGATGATAAGTGAAAGCATTTACACCAATCGACGTCGATTCAAGTTAAGTAACTTACATAACTTTTATATAGTTCCTAATCCTTTCCTGACTGAGTATTATCATCATAATTATGGTGCATCTTAGTTAAATTTCTTGAACTTAGAAATTGTTAACACTTGATCATTTAATTGTATAAACTCAATGTATGAAGTCTCTAACTGTTGGTTTAAGCCATGTGGGACGATGCAGACTAGGTGGTTGGGGTCCACGGGACAAGAGGAACCAGTGGTTGGAGACCCTAGGTGATATGGCTCAGAACCGAAGTCAGTGGCGCAGATGTATACACACATTATCCTCATCTTAACAACGCTATACCGAATCTCACCATTTTGTCACTCCTCTTTATTTTCTTTTCGTACTTTATATTTCTTTTGACTGCATTCACTTATCTTCATCCTTCACCTCACTACCTTTTTACTTGATGTGCTGATATGAGGTGTGGCAACTCGGACCGTTACTCAGTAATGCCTGGTCCTATGTTGATAATGATGATGATGATGAATTGTATAAACTATACACGTACTAATCATAAATTTATTGACTGTGTATATTTTATTCACTCTCAGAATTGACACATCTGCTTACATGGTCAATGGATCAAGTACTCAGTGCATATCCAATTCATTCCAAGACAATTTCATGTCATGATACTGAACCGTTAGTTACAAATCAGTCAAGTAAACAAACAAGAATAACTAAAGAAAAGTCAACTGATTTACTTGATATGTTATCATCTAATACTAGTTTGAAAACGAATCAGTCAAAGAAAGCTAGTTGTGTTACATCAGTGAACTGTTTCAATAAATTAAAGGTAATATTTATGTTTACGTTATATCATATATAATGAATATCTATGTGTAAAATAGTAACACTATTAGTGACTCGTTTGATGATGTTTTTAACATTGTAAAGATTGGTATATATGTTAGAATAAATACCTGTGCTACTGATTACTTAGGAAATTGATAGAAAGTGAAAATGATGTCACTTACACCTTTAATGTATATAAGCGAAAACCAACTTTCTAGTTAACAGGATCATCAACTTAACTATCATCTTGGTATGTAAAATTAACAAAAAATTTAATAGTCACTCTTAGAAGGTTGATTCTTTAGAATCATTAATTTTTTAATTGAATTGAAGGTCACGGGTTCGATCCCTGCTGGTGGAGTCGTGGGTACGCACTGCTGAGGAGTTCCATACTAGGACGAAACAGCTGTCCAGTGCTCCCAGGTTTCCTTTGTTCCTTCAACTGATGTCAGTCTACGATGAATAACAACTTGAAATAATTCCAAATCTGCACAACTTCCTCAAAATTTAATTGAATTATTGGTGTTGAAAAATGTGTACCAATTTATTACTGTGACATTTTTTGTTATCAAAAGATTATTTCAGTATACTGCTGCATATATCAACTTTTTTGTCTTTGGAAATATAGACTATAGATGGACAAATTCGTGGTGAAGAATCTGGTCAGCGTTCATCGACTTCGAAATCAAGTTTATCTATTTCTGGAAGTGGAGTCAGTACAGATACAAAAAGTAATGCCTATCTACAAATCGAATTATATATATGGCCTTTTCTATCCCTACAGATCTATGATTTTTGCGATAGTTTTTTCAAATATTTTAAATATTTAGGGCTAAAAGGAAATTTTGAGTTGGTATGCAAGCAGTTTAGTTATGGTCCCTTCGCTTATTTATGTGATATCCAACAGGAAGGGGAAATCTGAAGAAAGTTTTTTCTGTACAAGTGGAGAGAAATTCAGCAGTTAAGTGAATCAAACACTAGAGGCTGTTTCCCTAGGATTTTTTCCTACTGCTTGAACTCTATATAACTAGGTATGAGTATGTTTGGCGTGTGTTTCACACCTCTCAACTATAAGACGATACTCCATGACTGGTTGACTGAAATTACTTCCAGTTTAATGATAGTGAGTGAAGTGGTGGAATATGTTGACTCCTTCATTTATTTGGAGAGTTGCACCAGCCGAACGGTTTGGTTAATGACGAAATCTCAGCTTGCATATAGAAGGACTGTTTGGCATTCGCCAACTTGCGTCATCTCTGCTGCCGACTGGCGAGATATCCGACTGTCTATCGAATGATGAGTATAATGTGCTGAAGTTTGTTCTGTACTTTCATACGACCATGAGACATGGCGTTTCAGTTAAAAGCAGAAGACATAAAGAAGTTACACGATCTTGATCACAATTGTCTTCCTAGCATTACTCGTATACGGTGGAATTACCATGTGAGCAATGTTGTAGGTGTAAGACGAAGGGTACTAGGTAAGGAATAAAAGCCGTTCCATTGGGTTGTAAACCTTCATCTACTGAATTGACTTGAACATGTGTTACGCATGCTGAGCCACCACCTTCCTTGACGTTCCATGCCAGCAGTTGGATTGGGTTGGAAGAGGGTTCAGAATGCCCAGACCAAGACGGTACCAGTCTATGAAATCCTGACTGTTTGTATGTGCTGGGTTCCTCGAGATTATAGAAATCAATGGTTTAGAGATCCTTGGCGACATGGCTGAAATCAATAACAATAGAGCAAGATGCATTTACTCTTTGACGTCTTCTAAGGCTTGAATATTTGCGCTGACCTCACTTTATACAAAGCAGTAGACTAAACAATGATGCCTTCAATTTCATATTATTTAAAGAAGTGAAAGATGTTAAAATGAAACTTGTGCCAAAGAATTTTGTTGTGGTATGGAATATCAATCATATCAGTTATTAAACAATTAAGGTAGTTATTAATGATCCATAATCAATTAGTTATTGAGTCACAATAGTCTCCAGAAGAAAATAGTCATAAAGTTATCGTAAAGCGAAAATCAATAGTTTCTATAAAATCCCTCGTAAAGATTTCGTTTCATATGATAATGGAATCTTCACAATTGAAACATCCACCTTGAATATTGTGTAACCAGCCAAAGCATGTATGCGGAATCGTTCCTATTCTATGCACATAAATGATCTATTATGATAAACTGACACCAACTTTCGCAAATATGAAAGTTTTGAACTCTCCAACTATGCATTTTAAAACATTATCAGGGGTTGAGCTATTGATTGATATATACATGTAATTCAAATAACGACACCTAAGTTCATGCATTCCAAATTCTACCCGTAATATTAGCGGAAATAGGATTAAGTTGGAAGAAGACCATGCGTACCCATCTCAAAGCATAACACCGGTTGATGAAGTCTTTTGGTTATCAGTCTGAGTTGGCTAAGGAGGCACAGACTGTCTGATTGGAGTCCTCAAGACAATAAAAACCAAATGTTAGAGACTGTTGGTGATATGGTTCAAAATTAATGACAATATTGCACATGTAAACGCTCTTTGTTATCTCCAAATTGTCGAATCTTTTTGTAAAGTTTTATTCTTTTGTTTTCTATCTCGGTAATGAGCTTCGTCTGTTTTGTGAAGATCATTTATGCTACTTGGTTGCCGAAATCTTAATCTTACTGCCGGATACAACATTTTGAACTGTTTCCATGATATCTGCTTATACGTAATCAGTAGGCAGTATAGCTCTCATGGAATCCCTTTTGATCTGTTATCTTTGATATCAGCACCAAGGCTATTAACCACCTACTTTGCAAATTATTCTTGACACTCCATTGACTAGGTGGACGCATTTTACGAGAATTTATTTTATGACGAAGACACATTCAAATGAGGGTAAGCTGTCACTGGGTGTATTGTACAAAACTATTCAAATCAAAACATATAATGTTTCAGTGCAAAAAAATAGCTAACACTTCTTATCTATTTCACATTCTGATGATAATCAAAATCCTAGTAAAATTCTGATGTTAAGGAAGGGAAAAATCTCTAAATCCCCGCAAACCCCCAAATTTAATTGAACTGGTGCTCATTGATGACTAGCTTTGAAAGGTGATTCCCGAAGTCCCAATGTGAAGTCGTCACCAGTGGGGCAAACCTGGTAGCCGTGAGAACAAATACTCGATGATGATCGAGCTATGTCGTGAACCGACAGAAGTTGGAGATATGGACCACTGGATTCTGGTCCAGTGGCTCGATGGTAACATGATGACCACAGCACCTGAAAGTCGCGGGTTCGATCCCTATGCGGTCCGGCCCATGTGTTTTCATACCACTGAGAAGTCCCATACCAGGACGAAACCGCTGTCCAGTGCTCCCAGGTTTCCAATGTCCCTCCAACTGATGTCATTCATGATGAATACCAACTTGAAAAAATAAGCTACCGTTCCAGTCAGAGGAAGATATACAAAAGATAGGATTCAATTAATATGTAACAATTATTATACGTGATAATCAAACAAGAGTTAAATAATGATGGTTATAGGGGACTTAAGTCCTGTTTTATCGACAGTACTTTATTGTCAAGAATTATTTGGTATGTGAACAGATTTTTTTTAAAGAGGGAGCTCTAGCTATTTAAACAAAATTAAAACGGTTACTAATTTCTAGTTCATCTAGAGTCTGATGAGTGGTGATAAAGACTATGATAATGTCTACTATGTGAATGGTATCAACCAGATTTACCCATATAGAGCTTTGATCATTTTCCCCTTTCTTCACTTAAACATATGGGGAGATGTGTTTTATATTACATTTACATTGACTTCTCATGTGTGTATCCGTGGTAACTATTTCTACCTGTTTCTACACTATTACACAAAACTATGCAGCTTAAAAGTTATGCATGCAAATATGTAGAAGAGAATATGTATTTAGTCAGTTTACTTGTCTTTGGAATATCGAAAGACCATTTCAAACTTCCATGTATAAGGTTGATTGTAAGAAAATCATAACATAAAGGATTTTTAAGCGATATTGTGATCTTTCAGCGAACCAAAAACATTTTTCTTCAATTAATTAGTATCATTAAGATGTCGATATGTGTGTTAATGTTTATGATGTGCGAATTATTATTATCTTTCCTTTAGGTTCCTAGTGGAACATAGGGCTTCAATAGCTCGTCGCTATTTCACTCTCTTCTCTACAGTCTTTTCAACCTGGCTCCACGATTGCCCACAAGCTTTCATTTCTTCACCACATAATCTCCTCCATATCATCCTCGGACGTCCAGCTCGTCGTTTCTCTTTTGGGTTCCATTCGAGGGCCTGGCGCATGATGTCCCCAAATAGTCTTCTCAGTGTATGCTCAGTTCAATCCATTCCATCTACGCATCAGTATCGAGCGTAGGTGGCAGCTGTTGATGAATGTCTGTAGTTTGTTGAAAATACTTTTCGTAACGCATCAAGTCTCTGAACCATCATATAGAAACACTGACTTGACTGAATTAGTGTTGAAAATCCGGACCTTGTTCTTTATTCTGAGTACAGTGCAGTGCAGTATATTTCCACACTGATTTCAGAATTTGAAGGCCTGTTTTGCTGTCTTTCGGATCCTGGCTTTGACATACTCGTTTGTGCCGCCTGTAGTTGGAACGGTGCTGCCTATGTCGGTGAACGAGACAACTTCCGTTAGATTTCTCCTGTTTATGGCGATTGGTACTTGTTGTTGTTGGTTGGGTATCTTCATCACCTCTGTCTGCTCTACGTTCACTTGAAGTCCCGTCTTCGCTGACCTGCCTCTTCTGTCAACCTGCTGGTTTTTGCCTGTGGATCTTCGAGTTTGTGCAACATTAGATATGAATCATCATCGGCGATGAAATCCCAATCTTTCAGGGTCTTTTCATCGGTTGTGTCAGCATATGTCCTTCTTCTCACTTCTCACAGTTTGTTGCATGATCCAATCGATCACACTCTGAAAGATCATCGGGTTTTGTTTTAGGGTTTGTGTTAATTGGTGGTTTTGTGGCTGCTGCTGGTATTTCTGGACGATTTGCAGGTGGTGGTGGTCGATTCAAGAGTTTTTTGAAGTGGTCAGCCCATCGTTTCCTTTGATGATGTGCAAATTAAACTCAAATTTTTGCATAAATTCATTTTTACTGTATAATAACCATATTCAGTTTGTCATGATTGTTACTCAGTTACCTTAGGGCATGTAAAAGTGATAGTTAAACATTCATCAAGTTTAACTAATCAACCAATTTTGTTTAGATGAGGAGCTTCAAGGTTGATTAGAAGACCACGTAGATGAATTATTCGTCAATGTTGAATACATGTCATTTTCTATACATTGAAATTTATTCCGTGTTTATTACTGAGATGGATACTTAAGTGAAAGCATCTCTTAGTTTGACTATTTTCTGCCAGTTTACTGGTGCACATTAATCCACATTTCCTACTTCTGTCTGTTAACGATATAACGTGACCTCTATCCATTGCCGTCGTTGAGTAACTGTCTTCATGATCGACTCGGTTAACTCCTTTGATCATGACTTCTCATTAGAACTTCGGGAATCTCATCTAGTAGCAAGTCACTAGTGAGCACCAAACTAATTCAATGCTCATTGACAGTCGGAGGAACATTAGAAAACTGGGAGCACTGGACTACTGTTTCATTTAGTTTGGGACTCCTTAGCAGTGCTTGCTGACGACCCTGTCAGGGGTCGAACGCAAAACCTTTATATTCCGCAGCTAGCATGTTGCTATGGAGTCACTGAGTCGGAGCCCTGTGGTTCATATTTCTTAATTCTGTCAGTTCACGATATAGCGTAACGTTTTATCGGATGCCATCACTGAGTAACTGTTCTCATGTCCGAATTCATGTATCCACCGGTCACCACTTCTCATTAGAACTTCTGGAATCCCATCTTGAAACAAGTCAGCTTCGGTTCTCCAACCGATGTCAGTCCGTTATGAATACTAACCTGAAATCAATAAATAAGTCCCCACAAATCTTCAAATTGCACTTCATAAGACTTGATTAGTTTTTCTCCCACTAACACAAAGTGAAAATATGAAAAACAAAACCTTTCCAAAAGTTAGATAAAATTTTATACAAAAAACTTGATCAGTAGAAACTAGATTTAGAAAATACAGTTCACATGGCTTTGGAAATCCATAATTTCTCATAAATAAAGAGTGTACCAACAAGCATAATGGTAAAGTCTCTGGATTCAACACTGAATGATTCATGTTGAAATCATCAGTCATGGTTACCAGCGAGCACCGAGTCTAAGTCCACAACTTCCTATCTATTTACTCGAAAGCGAAGTATATTTAGAAGGGGATATCCCGAATAGACAACAATAACGGCTATCTTTGCTTATCTAGTATATTAGAGTTAGTGTTATGCATTTTAACTATTCCATACCTTATCCAACATGATTGATTTTACGACACATACTTTTGTGAGTACAATCTTATTTCAAAATAAGACATTATGGTTTTCTTATTGAGTTTCTAAAAAGTTCAGTTTTTGTTTGTTGCTAAAACATTTTATACATTGAATAAACATGAAAGTTTAACTTATACTGGAAAAAGTACAAAATGTTTTGAAAATTCAATAGTAGCGATCAATGATAATGATAAATAATGTGTATTAGTCGAATCTAGGATGCGCATTTCGTCCTGCTCGAGACTCATCAATTGGATGTACCTACCTCTCAGTGAGTGATGTTGTTTCCATTAAAACTTGAACTCGTGACTGATCACTTCAAATGCCAGAGCGTTATGCACTAAGTTGCTTAGTTCATGGTAGCTACCTCCTGTGTGACCGATATGTTAATGTTAAGAGTTAACGTTTCTTTGAATAAGCCAAATTGTTCTCTTTTTTTCTACACAAAAGTGATCTTGTATGTAACCATGTTGTTTTCATGATGCATATGGCCTTATCCTTCGAATTTTTTGTATGTATTTCTCATTCTATCCGAGGAATTTGCAAATTACTTTTTTTTTCATCTTCAACCTTTAACTGCGTTTGCACTTTTTGGCAAGAAAAAAAACACATCTGTATGTAGGTTGTTATTATCAATAGTTGTGAGTGTGAGTGCCGTGTATATGAATAACGTGTTTAATTTTTACCTGTTTATGAAGATTTACAGCGTATATTATTCACTTACCAATTATTTTGTATTGAAATATCATGAAGCATTTACTTTTTCATATCTTATTTATAGTCAGTAGGTCACAGGATTGCTGACAACAAAATCAACTGCCTATTTATCGGTGCTTATTGAATATGGAAATAAGAGCTTCAAGCTAACTTATCGGAAACTATTATTTACGTCTAATAAGATTTCTAAAGGTGAATTAGAGCAAGATTTACCACTGACAGTGTCGTATGTTCTTAACAGTGCCCACAGTTATACATACTTACACCCGTCTGCCTTGGACAAAACTTCACAACCATATCTTTATAACTGTCTATAGTTTTAAGTTCGTTATTTGTTGTTGACTAGCATAAATATCTGCTTATCCTGTTATTTTGGTTGTCATAAGATAAATAAAAAAATTGTAAAGTGAATATTTTTTTTGGCAAATCAGACAGATTACTGGCCAATTATGTTGTACATTATTTTCAAACTCTACAAGAATTAACCTTCTTGATATAAAAATGAGAATTGCCAGTTTACTTGTTGAATGTTTGTATTCTACTAAATCATAAGGTTCACTTCTTTTAGTGATTGGTTTAATGTCACCAGGAAAATAATCACACCATCTTGTCATTCGTATCAGAAACACAGGCTTCAGCGAATATTATTTGGTTCGTTGTAACAAATCAACAATGGGCTATTAAAAGCTTTAATGCAATTGTATTATTATCATTATTTGTCCCTTGGGTTCCCAATGGAACATAGGACTTCAGTAGCACGTCTCTATCCCACTCTGTTCTCTGAAATCTTTTCAACCTGGCTCCACAACAGCCCACAAGCTCTCATTTCCTCCTCACACAGTCTCCTCCATGTCAACCTCACCTCAGACACCCAACTCGTCGCCTCCCATCTCGGTTCCACTCGAGTGCCTGACCTGACGCGTGATGTCCCTTGTCGGCCTTCTCAGTGTATGCCCCATCCAATCCATCTCCACTTCCTTCCAGTACATATTTGTTCAGCGATAGCTTGTTGCTTCGTTGGTCCGTTGCCCGACCAGTCAGAGTTCCTTGTTGCTTATTCCTGTTATTCTGGCAATCCATCTGATCTTCAGTAACGAGGCAGCGTAGGCGGCAGTTGTTGATGAATGTGTGTAGTTTGTTGGAAATGCCTTTGGTAACACGCCAAGTCTGTGATCCATACAGGAGCACTGACTTGACGTTGGTGTTGAAAATCTGGATATTGTTGACGCTTTATGCTGAGTGCAGAAGATGTTCACAGTGGTTTGAGGTTAATGAACACCTGTCTTGCTTTTCCGATGCTGGCTGGCTTTGACGTCGTCGTCTGTGCCGCCTGTAGTTGAATCAGTGCTGTCTAGATAGGTGAAGGAGGTTACTTCCTTTAGGTTTCTCCCATTGGTGGGGATTGGTGCCTCTTGTTGTTGCTGTTGTTGTTGTTTGGGTATCTTCATCACCTCTGTCTTCTCAATATTCACCTGAAGTGCTGTCTTCGCTGCCCTGCCTCTCCTGCCAACTTGTTGGTTTTCGCCTATAGATCTTCAAGTTTGTGTGACATTAGACATAAGTCATCGGTGAAATTCAAATCTTGTAGGTTCTTTTCCGCGGTCCAGCGTACTAAATGGAAAATTTGAAGGATACAAAGGGATTAAAGTTCTCTTTTCTATCATAGCGTTTGTTATTGTTCCTTCACAAGTTATTTTTACTTTTTATTTTAACATGATTTATGCTCTTAGCTGCCTGAATAAAATAAAGCATCTGTCAATCATTTTGCAATTATATTGTAGTCTACTTTGTGGCTAACAGTGAAATAAAAGAACATACGTTTCGCCTTATTTGAGGTTTGTCCGTTGAACGTACTTCCACTCCAGTGAGTGATGTTTCCACAAGCTCGGATCCGGTATCGACCACTTCAAACGCCAAAGCATTGTGTACTAAGCCACTAAAACACAAGAGCCACATTTTGAATATGATTATCTGGACAGTGTCTAGGCATCTGAACATAGAGGTCGAATAATTTGACCCAGTATAGCAGCGGGAAAGTACAAGTATCAATAAACAACAATATAAAATTTGTTCACTATCAGTTCTTGCATTAGTTTTCTGTGTAAATGTTATTAAGGTAGCTGGTGTATTAGTTAGAGCTTTCCTTCGGCAACCAGGATTTAGAGTCTTTATTTATCGGTCTAACACGTGACTAAACACCTAAGGAACACGTCAAAAATAGACCGAAGAGAGAAAATGCAACCGACTACAAATATTCGCGTTAATATTATTGGTAAAAATCTAAAAGAAGTTGACAGATCAAGCGAAACAAGAATTGAGATTTAAAACACAGTGTTATTGGACATTGAAGGATGAGAAAATGACAAGGCTCGGTATTTATTTGCTGTTACCATGACTATTAGTGATATCCTCCGTATGGTAAAGACTACTAAATGGAGACTATGAATTTATTCCTTTGCTTATTTGGTCACCATAAAATGGGCTCAAACCTGCCTTGCCAGTACATTGTATTAGTTGACGTGAACATCATCTATGTCTTTAGTTCACTTATCCCTATTCATGCGCTACGTTTTAAATTCAATTCTACGCTTTTCAACTGTACACTGACACTGGTCTATGTTTAAATGGTACATACTTGCCCTAACTTTTAATAACTTAACGTTGTTTGCTCTAAATATTCATTCCAGGCCTAAATGTTTGGTCTGAATCGTGTGTGGAGATACAGACTTCCTAGTTGGGGTCCTGGAAACGAAAAGAATCAGTGGTTGAAGACTAACTCTGAGTGACATAGTATCTTCAAAGCTTGAATATCTCTACTAACCATTATGTTCAAATTGTTTACTGTCTCACTCAACTTTCTCTACTTTGATACCGTTGTTTTTCTATCCACCTGTTGCTTGTATACTATTGTAAAATGTGGCAACTTCAGCTGATGCACCCGTGCGTGAGGTTCTATTTTGATTTTTTCAGTCTAAATGTTCATTTGCTAATTGGATATGCTGGTGAAAACCTTGATGATCACAGTGAATGACTAGTGACGTAACTGCAACTGCCTAATTATTCGACGTTGATATTTGAATTAAGTTGGACTTGATTTCTCATTATTAAATGTTACTTTTCCACTCTAGTCGTTAGTAAATTATTGATTTACGATGCGTTTTTTTTTCTTTTTTCACCACTTATTACTATTATTATTCATGCTATCATAGGCTCAAATCAAGAAGATAGCGCTTTCCAATTCTTAGCTCAAGAATTATCTTTACTAAGTCCTAGAGCTGGACAGGTAAGTATTTTGTTTTCCTTATGGGACTTTTTTTCTAGTCTGTTCATTGTATTATTTATTGCCATCTATTAGTTTTTGTTTGAAAATTTGTTTTTTTTTTGGTTAGTGCTTAAACAATCACGTATAGTTTACAGTCTTTTTACTGTTTACTAGTTTCTTTTAGCGTCATCCAACACTTTTATTTGACAAAGGTATGAATAACAAAACGATGACTATGAATAGTTCAGTTATGCTGCTTGCTTCTCTGCATACTTCATATCAGCTAGATTACTTCCAGGTATTAGATCAGATCAAAAGTACCTAAGGTTGATTTCCATTAGTACATCTGTAACGAAGTTAAATAGGAACGGTGACAGTGGGCGACCCCGGCAGACACCACCAGTTATCACCAACTCGCGTGGCAACTCTCTATAAGCTCTGACACGGCTATGTGAGTTTGAGCGCAGAGCTTTGATAGGCATTATATACTTGCTCGGTTCTCCTTTAACAGTCAGACACTACCACAACACTTTACTGTCGAATGAGTCACATGCCGCCGTCAGGTCAACAAATATGGCAGTGTTGGCCACTAGTTGGCAGGTATGCCTTTGTCTCAGGACTTGTAGGTGGGTGGAAATCTGATCGATACACCGTCGTCTATATCTGAAACTTGCCCGGTTTTTTCGAGTTCGCTGTTCTCGAGCTCCACTTAGGTGTTGGAGAACTATGAACCCTAGGATCTTGGACACAATATTCGTCAAACTAGTTTCCCTATGTTTGTCATAAGAAGATGTTTTCCCCTTTTATAGACTGAGATGATCAGTGAACTAACCCAGTGCAACTGCACTACCTCTGATTCCCGTACACTACCTAATACATCCGTCACTTTGATTAGCAATATCCTTCCTCAATCCTTGAAAATATCGGATGGCAAACTGTCAGGTCCTGCTGCTTTGCATCGTTTCATGTTCGACAAAATCTTCTCAAGGAGAGTTGGTGAATCGGTATCTACGTTCCATTCAGGTTCATATTGTATGTTGGGCAACAGAAGCGTTGCTGAGGGCCAGTTGAATTGTTTTTCAGATTGTTCTGCCCAACGTTTTAGCGGCCTATCCTGGAAGGTTATCAGCATCTCATCCATTGTAGTGATGGTTTCACCAACCATCAAAGTTTCCAGGTGTTAGTCAACGGTGATGCGATCATTGCGAGGAGTGTTAGTCAATGTACGTTTAAGTTGTTTTCGCTCTTCATTGTGGTTAGAGCCAGCTGGGATCAGTCTTCTCGCATTTGGGATAACGTTAGAGAAATCCTGTGACGTTTGCTAACCTTTATGTGTAGGTTATCAACTGTCTTTATCACTATTTCTGTAACAGACTTAATACCACACCGGGTTTCCTGATGATGAGATCAACACTATAACCGAAGAGGAGGTAAAGTTTCACCATCCTCTTCATGTATTTTTCTCCACTACTTATTAGTTATTTATTGAGTAATTATATCACCTAAATTTTAGTACTGTCTAAATCCTATTTAGTAGGTTCTCACTGTAATCAATTAGATAATTAAGGTGGTTTTCCGGTACTGTGTATATGGTGATCATTTTTCGGTTGACTACAATCACTAGAAAGTTCTAGACATATTTTTTGTGTGTCCTTAACTTCGCCAACAAGGCATATCTACCAATTTGCGGAAACTGATGTTCAGAGTCCTTTCGCTTCGTTGCACCTTTTCTACTATCCATCTTATTTTATAAATATCTTCAAAGCCTCATATGTCTATCCACCATTTTTCTCAATCTTAGTATCATCTACACTATTAGAATTCCTATACATTCCTTTTGATTTCTTATGATCATCACGTGCACTAATAGATCGATAAAGTGCGTGCATTGTGTACTCGGAATTTGATTAAATTGATAAATAATCAGTTGGCCAATTAGAAACCGAAATGAAAACGTAGTGTATCGTACAACTTCGCTAATTAGTGATACTATAGACTAGGGGAACTATACGCATTATCGACTGTTCCCTGATAATATTATACCTGATCATAATAAAAGAGAGCGTTATGCGCCAGTACTGTGGTTTACTTAAATTACTACCTTTTATACTAAAATAAGTGAAAAAGATAATTAGAAAGGAAGTTAAAGATATACTTAAGTCTATAACAGTAAAACTATTCAGTTCAGTAAAGCAGATAAATACTGCTTGAGTGATTTTCAGCTGTTCTGCACTACGCTTTTAAATGACATCTTGTCTCTAATTATTCCTTTCATCAAAGTGTTACCACTAAGTTTTGCTAATTATTTCTCTCGATTAAATAATTTCACACTCATCTTATATTTGGAAGCATTTGATTAATGCTATTCATTCATAAATTAATTCTCAACAATAATTTTCAAAGTTTTGAAGTCATGGCTCTGTAAAAACTATGGAAGTAAATGACATACTTAGCACCAATTAAGTTTGTGGTTTAGTAGTTAATAAGCCCGTCAACTATCATGTTAGCTAGTTATTGTATTAAGTAAGCTATCGCACGAAACGCATGTGTTGGTGTGCATATCAGTACATATTAGGCTACACTGATTTATAAGTAAAATTCTCAGTAGACTCTATACACTAGTTTTATATTTTCATACCACTTAGGCATTGTTACAGTGTGTATATGAATTTAGATGGTATGTTTACTGCTTGTACTGCTGTTCAAATAAAACATGCTGATCACTTTTTAATAATATAGACTAATAAGAAGTAGTTGTTAGTTGCTTATTAGGTTTCACATGGGGGGATAGTATTTTAATCACAAGATTTAATTGAGTTCCATGATGAATTTATGCATTCTCTATACTATGTTTCTCGCAACCACGAATATTCGTGCGTCTTCTTTGTTATTGAATGGAATGTTTTTGTGCTGATTGAAGGTGAAATCATCAGCCAGTATCAATATTAGTCTGCCAAACCATGACTATCTCAGATCATCAAAATGATAATCATCAATATGATACTCTCCCTCTCTAATTTAGTTTAATTTAGATTGGGATAAAAGTCCTGACTAGACAGTCAGCATGAATACGATCAAGCGATAGTAATACGTCAGGAATTCAGACGGTAGTTGGGCAAAACTCTTGATGATTGAAATGTAATTAAAATCTGGTCAGCAGTTGAATTTCGTAGCTTAGTTGGTAGAACACTGGGCTGGTAACCCAATGGTCGTTGGTTCGAGTCCGACTGTGGTTCAACTTTTCATTTCACCTTCAATCATCACCCAGTATTAATATTTTTATGTCTTTGTTGTATTGTATTCTCTGAGGTGGGTTGTTTAATCGTGAAGCTTTCATCGTCTTGCTAAGCAACATCATTGGACACATTGGATAGAGCGGCCGCCCTCTTCGCCTTCGCCTACATGAGCACCAGTTGGCTATTAAATGCTACAATATTTCGTCACTCATTTCAATACACGGGGGTAATTATGGACATGAATTGAATTTTCACAATGTATACATTTTGGACAGAGGAAACACAAAGAAATAATGGAGAATATTTGTAGCTCAGGTGGATAGTCTTGGTTGTATTGTATTCTTTGAGAATATCAGAGAATTCCTAGAAGCTTGACATTCAGGTCAGCCAGTCAGGACTCAATAGGTGTATAGACATAAACCCAATCTACCAACCAATGAGGAAAATGATGAACAATAGAAAGGCCAGAGGTCAAGTAAAAGAACAGCCAGCAGGAAAATCTATACAGTCATTGACACAACAATCAAAGGAAACAACCAATCACAAACCTGTTCATCGGGGCCAGCTACTAAATCACTGATGGAGAGATATTGACAGGTCACTTCATACTGCAGTTAGTGCTGATGATGTCATCTAGCAAGACGATGAAAGTTTGAGAATTAAACAACCCAGCTAGCTGAGAGGACGCAATACAACCAAGACCATCCACCTGAGCTACGAATATTCTCCATTATATTTTTATGTAGAAGATATTATAGGTCGATAAGTGTGCTTATGATTTGAAGATTTTCACTATTATTTTTGAAGCCATCATCAGATACAAATTCAGAGTGAAATTAGCGTTTAGAATTTCTTTACAATGGAGAAATCTTTCTATAATGATGTTTTTTCCTTATGTTTGGGTTGTCTTAAAAGACTTTGATATGATTTTCTGATTTACTAAATTTATTCTGTGTTATTTTATTGTATGATGTTTTTGTGATCGATTGATCAGTTGAAGCTGAATTGGCTAGGTAATTTCAGTTATAGACTAGATATATCCTGGCTTACTCATAGTTGTAGCGACTTAAAATGTGAGCATTTAAGCAGTCAAGGTTATAGTTGAAAATTTATGCTGTTTCATCTTTTGAATAACACTACATACATAGTAAAGTAGTTATGCGAATTTGTGTAAAAGTATTCGTTTCCAAAAAGATTTTAAAGTTCTATCAGAAATTACCTAAGTATCAATAGTCATTTTTGTAAAATTCAATATGCGTATACCAGTTTACTTACTCTTGTGGAGCTGAGTACATCGGCCATACCATGCATCCGCTTGTAAAACGTGTTTGCGAACACTACCCAGCCTGGCTTGCAAAGGGAGAACGGAAATGCATCTTCAGTTCGATAACAGAACACCTCGTGAACTCAGGCCACTTAGCTCCTTTCCAGAGCTCATTCAAAATTCTCTACAGGGTTCGATCAAACCGCTCGAAAAGAGTAAAATCAAGGCATCTGTCTATAGCTGAAGCATTAGCCATCCAGAAGCTCAAACCAGCGTGATGCGTGCAAAAACGATACCTCCAACCTTTATCTTTGCCATAGCCATCATAAAGCCCTGTCAGCCACAGATTCATTTTGTATCAAATTGAACCTGCATTACGTAATTACCATTTTATTTTCATGATCCCGTGTTTATTCTCATACTCTGTCATGGGTTTATCCGGTATTACATAATCACAATTTTGTCTCCATAACCCTTCGTTCAGTCCCCCACTTTGCCATACATTCATCCTGTACTACGTAATTACATGTAATTTCATAATCTCCTGTCTATTTTCCCACTCTAAACACAAATGTGTATTAATTAACTTCTTTTTGTCATTCAATATATTTTGCCCCCTGACCGGAAACAATTCTGGAACATTCTACCTACTGTAACATTCACAAATGTACAGCTTAGTAAATGACTTCGTCGAAAAGAAAAATTTTTTCTTCGCTGAAACCACATTTTGTCTTTTCCTATGAAACTCAACTATAGAATTATTCTTTTCCACTTCTTTTTGTTACACTCAATCCTTTTAAGTGACTTTTTAGTATACTTCTGAATATGAATACTTTCCATCTTACCAATAAAAAGTTATTGATAACAACAGTTCAAGTATATTACTGTTTAATAGGATTAGTAGTGATATAAGTGAGTGTTTATTTGTGTAAAGAAAATAAATTACTATTTTAATTTCTTAACAATCCCTTATAAGAATAGTGCGTAAGATAATTTAGTTGTGTATTAGGTTTAGACATCCACTAACTTTGTCAGTCTTCATATGTCAATCCTTTTCTGTAGTATTCATCCATCTAATTTTTCCAGTACCCATGGTATTTACACTTACATAATCATTTGTTTATTGCAGATAAGAAGTATAAAGTTTCTACGGGATAATAGAGTACACAAAATAAGTTTATTAGCATCCCATTACATATGCATGAATAAATCTTCTCACTATTAGCACCTATACAGTAGTCTACTTTATAAATTTATTGGTAGTTTTTTAACTATATTGAAAGAAAATTAAGAGGAATATACATTTTTATGGTGTGTTGACTAATCATTTTATTTATTTGTCCCTTGGGTTCCCAATGGAACATAAGGCTTCAGTAGCAAGTCTCCATCCCACTCTCTCCTCTGAAATCTTCTCAACCTGGCTCCACAACAGCCCACAAGCTCTCATTTCCTCCTCACACAATCTCCTCCATGTCAACCTCACCTCAGACACCCAACTCGTCGCTTCCCATCTCGGTTCCACTCGAGTGCCTGACCTGACGCGTGATGCCCCAGTCGGCCTTTTCAGTGTATGCCCCATCCAATCCATCTCCACTTCCTTCCACTACATATTTGTTCAGCGATAGCTTCTTGTTTCGTTGGTTCGTTGCCCGGCCAGTCAGAGTTCCTTGTTGCTTATTCCTGTTATTCTGGCAATCCATCTGATCTTCAGTAACGAGGCAGCGTAGGCGGCAGTTGTTGATGAATGTGTGTAGTTTGTTAGAAATGCCTTTGGTAACACGCCAAGTCTGTGATCCATACAGGATCACTGACTTGACTTTGGTGTTGAAAATCCACATCTTGTGCTTCATGCTGATTGTAGAGGATCTCCACACTTATTATTACTTGGCACGTGGCCTTTTCATATAGTTTTTGAATGAGGTTGATAAAGGTTTGTGGTATTCCGTAGTATTGAAGCAGTTTCCAAATTACCTCTCGATCGACGCTGCCATTACAGGCCATAAAGTAATTTAGATAGGTTTCGGTTACACTATCTTTGATGTAATTATCTGTTATCTATGTAGTTATTCAGTGACTTCATAGCCTCTATGAAAATACTAACATTTTATTGATAAAAAGCAGAATCAAGTTAGATAATAAGCAATAAATAGTATGGTTGCATTACCGGCAATAACGTTATGCTTAGGTTTTGAATTTTTCTATGTAATTAACCAAGAAATTATGAATTGAATGTTGAAGGTTAGAAGCATTTTCAAATAAATACCTCAAGTGATCATTTACCAGGGAATTTTAAGGTTATCCTAAAGACTGATAAAAGTTTGTGGATCAATCGTCAAGCTATGGCTCATTAGTTTAAGCAGACAACTTTCAACCAATGATTCACGAGTTTGCTCACTGCTACACTTACCAAGGTTCAGGCAGGTAGGTAGTATCATTAGCCTTCACACAATAGGTGTAACTGATACGCAAGTTTATTCCACTGTACCATACCTATGTTTTCGAATATATAATTACTCTTGATAATTATGTTATTACATAATCTCTTATATATCTTCTGTTTATTTGTTTTTTTAGTACAAATTAGAAGAGGTGGACCTCATTAATCGTACAGCGAAATTAATACTATTCTATTGTCGTCGTGATCATTATCATCATTATTCTCTATGTTCAATAACTAATAATTTTAGAAGACGACGTCATAGTGCTGAAATGAATAATGAAGGTCTTGATAGTTTACTTTTACCATCAACTACTGATTTAATTTCACAAATGGAATTTTCTAAACATTCTAATTTTTGGACAGCACAACATCGTAACTCATCATCGAGTGATATTGATCCGACAACATCAAATGATATCGGTGTTGGTAGTAGTGAAGAGAACAATACACCTTTAATAAATAATGATCTGTTAAACCGTTCGTTTACAGTTGCCAGTTCTAGTCAATATACAAGAAATTCAAATAATAATTATGGTAATAGTACTTCTAATATGCCATTAGCTGGTTCAATTATTCTGAGTGTAGAATTCCCTGCAAGTTATCCTTTAAATGATGCTCTGCCTGAATTTCATATACTTGATTGCAATCCATCATTACCTGCAGAAGTATTGGATGAATTAAAGAATGCAAGTTGTGTAGTAATACATTTTCACGTTATTGTACCTAATAACTGATCCATTCTTTTGAAATTAATGGTGGATAGTGATTAGTAGTGGGAGTAAGGATGTGCGTTTCATCGTTTTTGGGACTCGTCAGCTAAATGAACCTGCTTTTCAGTGAGTGATATTCTTCCCACTAAGACTGGAACTCGGGACCGATCACTTCAAACGCTAGGGCGTTATGCATTAGGCCACCGAGTCATAATAGCCACTTGCCCAATGGGTATAGTTGTTGTTTGTACTATATCGTCGTTGATTAGAGCAAATTGATCGGTCTCAAATGGCATACAGGCTCCTTCGCGTTTGCTTTGATATTTGTTCCAATTTTATATTAATGATTCTTTTTAAGTTATTAAAAATGCCTTACTGACAATGTGCTATCATCGCAATAGGAGGATGATGCTCATTGGTTCAGGCAAATGACTACCAACCATTGGTTCAAGGGTTCAAGCCCCGCTCCACCTACCGAGGTTTGGATAGCTAGGTAGTGTAACTATCCCTCGCACAAAAGGTGTGGCTCATCGCCTTCTGCACAAATGTGCACAAGGTAAATAAGCACGTTTCGTTTGTTTGAAATTGCCTATTTCATCACATATCTAAATTATCAGTTAAATGTACTTGCGTTTCAGTGAGTTTTGATATTTACATTGTAATTATGGCCCAACAACAATGACTTCAAATATCCAATTGTCTTCTACAACTATAATAATAACTAATTCCCATATAGGAGATAGTTTTGACTGTGCTACGCTTAAAACAGTCATTCTCAGCTCAGTTATCAGCTGTCTAATGAATAGTCACTGAGTTGTTTACACATCTAACTGACAAGTTTCAAACTGAACGGAATATGAATTACAAATTCCACTGTTAACTATTATAATGCCATCAAGTGAAAAAGAAATTCATCTAGCTGTTTTGTTATCAATACCTTAGTTCATAGTTTATACTTCTTTGAACTAATATATTCCAGTTTATGATTATCCATCTTAAATACTGTCGCTAATTGTGCTTATATTTATGTGTTGAGTAGCATGAGTAGTTTTAACTTTTGATGTGAAATCCATGTGGAGAATACGTGTTCCCACGCAGTGTTTTTATTCCCCCAGAACTTAAAAATCTGACTTTGAAATAGTTTTCAGTTTAAATTAAACCATAAGGTAGAAATTAATATGGTTACGGATTGACTGGTGTGATGTGAATACATCCACAACTTATCTTTATTCTAACCGTTGTTACTCACTTTATCCCCTCTTCTTTGCCTACTACAGCTTGTGAACATGTTATATCGATTACTCTGTCCTTCGAGCTGTTATTTTGTATGTTTATTTGAGAAGGTGAGGATAACAACTTGAATCGTTTCTTATGGTGACACTGACTAGGCAAAGATGAAAATGTGAATGATTGACAAAATCGACATAAACCTCGTAAACAAGTGCACACTTCACAGAAGTGTACAAAGAACAGGTGAATGGAAAAGACGTGATATCAAAGTAGGTAAAGTAGTGTAAGAGAATAAATAACTTAAAGGTTAGTACAAAATATCAAGGAGTGAATATATCTGCGCTGTTGTAACCGATTTTCAGCCATGTCATCAAGAATTTCTAACCAATGATTCCTTTTGTCTTGGAGGACCTCAAGTGGGCATTCTGCATCTATCTACACAACTCAAACCAACAGCCAGAGACTTCATCGACTGGTGCCATTTCTTCGTTTGGTCACCCTGAACCGTTTTCCAACATAATCCAAATTTCCTTAGCATGGCACGTCAACGTAGGTGATGACTTGACATGCACAACACATGTCCAAGCCATCTCAGACGTATAAGGTTCGTAACCTCATCAATCGACTTGCCTATCTTGCCTAGTACCCTTCGCGTGACTCCAACGTTACTCACACTGTGATTCCACCAAACCTGAGTAATACTACAAAGACATCTGTAATCGAAACACTAATCGTTTCATGTCTTTTGCTTCCAGTGACCATGTCTCACAGCCAAATAACAGGACAGAACGAACTACTTCCCATTAAACTGGGTCCTACTTCATCAGTTATAGAAAACCTTTTATGCACCAAACTGAGAGATAACCAGCTCATGACTGATTTAAACTTGATCAGTGTTGCATACTTTGTCTAATTTGTCCTCTCTTATGTTTTGTTTATTGATCTTGGTGTGTGCAGTTCACTTCATCCCTTTTTATGCGTCTATGTATGTGTGTAGCTTAGAATAGAAACTTGGGTAATTCAGTATATTTTTATTCATGTACACAGGGCTCGGAGAACTAGGTCACCTGTTGCGCACACTTGAATTGCAACTGCTGGGTCGCACCGTTGTTAAGTCATCTAGTTTTAAAGGCTCTCTCACTTATTGACTCGATTTCTAGCGTGAAATATGTGTGATATATGTGTACGTAGTTGCTGAATTGTATTTGAATTTTTCCCAAAGTCAGTATCTCAGTTTAGTTGTTAGCTTAAACTGCAAACTGATAAGTTTTACTAATACTATTTTATTCAACTTTTATTTGCATTATATAATGATTTTGTTTTCTATTTTTGTAATTTTTGAACTCAGGTTTTACATTCAACTGCATCAGAACTTGTTTGTACCTCACGTGGCTGTGTTGAACCATGTATACGGAATGCTGTGATTACTTTACAAACTTATCGTCTATCATATGGTCAAGTATGTTTTGTAGTTAATGCCTTATTAAAACTAATTACATTATCTCTGTAGTCAATTATTAATCTTTCTCTGTAATAGTTAATTAGTGAATTTTGCTTTATTGTTAATGTTGACTTCTTGGATCTAGTTAGTTACAATAATATGATACATACACCTACTGTACACCTATACGGATTAAATAAAAACACTCATTGGAATTCTTATGCATCGAGACTGTGAATTTAGTCTTGGAAAGAAACAGTTGTCTTAGATGCAGCAACTTGTCTTTCTGAACGATTTTCACAAATGACTCCAGTGGAAACTTAATTATTTTAGTTTATTTCATTAAAACGGATCGATTTATAAAGGTATGTCTTTCTTTACAGTGATCGTTGTAACTAAAAAGGATATGAGCCATTGGTGAAGGCACATGCCCTAACTACTGAGGTCTGAGAAGCTGGGCAGTATTCTTAGTCTTTATGCAGTAGGTTTGGCTCATTTCTACTCTGTGAACCTGAGCGCGGTTCCTAACTTCAATTCGATTGGATTTGGCTGTTTTCACTTGAATTACCCAGCAACTAATGTGTTGACATCTGAACTGGCAACTGTGTAGTGCGTGTATTAGAGACTATTGAAAGCCTTACTAGTCAATAAATGGTAATGTGTATTCACCAGAGAGTCTAAAAATCTCTTTAATATTATTCCACAACCGGTTTTTCACATTTATTTCTAAGAGTTCCATAACTGGAATCAGATTTATATTCTAGCGTCACTTCATTTCATGTTGTTCTATGAATCGTTTTAGAACATGGTAAAATTCTATCTTGTAAATCATCAGTTGTCACAAATCTGTACCAGGTTTTACGATGATTTTGTCTGTAAATATGTCTGAAAACCGCTAGTCATACGACTGAAAATCAATTACAGTAGTGTCGATATGCATCATCTTCGGAAATGTAGAGAATATTGCCAATATATACCGTATGTGTTATATTTCTTGTCATGTTCATGTTTTATTTAGTGTTTTTCTACTTCAATTGATTTTTGCATTGTTGTTCTAAAATGTGGCACTTTTAAATAAAGTTATCTGTCAGGCAGTTACCATTAATTACCTTTTCCGAATCATACTGAAACTGAATCTTAATTTTAGATTATTACAGAAGTGATTGACTTTTAAATGTATCCATTTTTAGCTAAACTAAAAGGATAGTCATCTGTAAGCAACAGACTTACATCCTTTTTTTTTGAACTGGGATTACAGTGATATTATTACGCAGTTTAAGGATAGGAAGTGAATTTGTGCGATATATCGACCACGTAAATTACCCAAGGAGATGCAGCAGCCCGAACGACCTGGTTACTGAAGAAATCTTAGTTTGGATGCAGAAGGCCCGTTTAGCGTTTGTGAAGTTGTATCATCTCTGGCGCTAACTGGCAATATGACCGACTATCTATCGAAGGACTAGTATACTCGACTGTTGTCCATTCTGTCCTATTAGGCGGCTGTGAGACATGGTATGACCGGTGAATGTAGAAGATATGAAGAGACTGCAAGTTTCTGACCACAGATGTCGTCGTAGCATTGGTCAGGTACGGTGGAGTCACTATGTGATGAATATCGGGGTCGGGCGAAGTGCACTAGGGAAGGAAAGGAAGGTAGTTGATGAGGTTGTGAACCTTCATCGACTCAGTTGGCTGAGGCATGTGCTACGTATGCTGGGCCACCCTCTACCTCGACCTGCAGTGTCGGCAGAATTTGGATTACGTTGGAAGAGGGTTCAGGGTGACCAGACTAAGGTATGACACTAGTCAATGAAGTCTCTAACCATTGGGCTGAGGCGTGTAGGGAGGTACTGACTACCTATCCGGGGTTCTCTAGTTGATAGGTATCAGCGATTTATGACTCTCGGTGATACATATTAAAATTGGTGACTACTTCTTCTGAAGCTTGAATGTTTCGATTAACCACTTTTAAATTTCTCTATCATATACCTCTTATCTATCTTGATATTAGTCCTTTTCTGTTCACTTGTTCTTTGTATACTACTGTGAGGTGTGGCAACTTGAACCGCTGCAGTCGTCTACGAGCTTCTGCATAGATTTTTCCTGTCTATCTGTTGTATAACGAGAGTGAATCCTTGCCCTATACACTATAAATAGTATGTGAGACAAGATCAACAAATTTACTAGCCTCTAGTGTAATCGACGACAAGTAAGTAAAATGCTTGATATTTGAATCTGTCGTGGCATTCTTGAGATAGTCAACCGAAGACCGAAGGATAACTTAGCTAACTGTAGCTCCTCATCTTTCAGTTATCAACTTAGCTCTTCCTGTGGAACAAGTTAAATCAGGCAGACAATTAGTCAGGTGCGTTTCTAGATACGATAACATTTCTTTGCTAATACAGCTGTTAATGTTCTACGCTGTTTTCCGAAAGCATTACCAAATGCGCCTCACTAAATGTAAACTTTGTATTCAGAAGAAAATGAGGCATTCTTCTTCCAACCAATGAGTCGCAAGTTCAAACCTTGCTCCACTTACAAGGTTTTGTGGAGCCTTCATACAGTAGATATGCCTGACCGCCTACTGCACGAATACTAATACGGTAACTGAGTGCATTTTAATTGTTTTTCCATTCAGTAGGAACATGTTCAGGTTCTATTCCTGCTTTGATAGTCTATACACTAAAAGTTATTTGCCTCATCCTTGATTATTACCTTTTCCTTTCTTTCTTCATATTGCTGATGCGTAAATAAGTCATCTTAGAAGTGAAAAATAAAAAGTGAGACACGATCTTCTTACAAATCTTAACGATTTTCTATTTGGGAAAATATTTTCGCTGTACACCTAGCGTGTATATGATACCGAACAACCCCACTTTATAACTGTATAACTTGATGACAGTTATTTTGGAAAGAATTTTATTCCTCTATATTGTCTTTTGTTCTAAAATAATCTGATTGTTCGAAAGTCAGTTACTGGTGATAATGATGCAGTTAACTAAATCTAATTACAATCAAAATAATGTAAGACAACTCTACTAACCATGTAGTAGTAGGTTTTCTGGAAGATAATGACATTTTCTAACAATACTCTTCTACAATTTGAAAGATGCCTCTTGAAGAGGTATCAAAAGGACAGTTCACTGTGGTCGTTGTCTTTTGTTCCAACTTTGAATGATATGCTTGCTTTGTTTATACTGTTGAACATAGTGACTTCAAGCTATCCCTAGGGAAGAAACGTTACTATCACATAGTACTTTATGTTTCTTTATTCCTTTTGCTCTACTTCAACTGACTTTATTGACTGCAGAACTACTTGAATTAAATACTACTTACTGTAGTCAAACCGAGGTTTGATACGATATCTTAAGGCATCTTTTTTATATGATTCGTGTTGGGAATTGTAGACTTACTGAAACGGTTCTGTAAGACTACTGAAAAATATTCATGACACTCTAGGGGAATCTCAACCTTGAAACTTTTATTCTACATCTATTAACACTGATCTCAACTTTGTTAATTTGTTTTATTATTCGTTTCTTACGGCTCCTGATGTGTATGTGTTGTATGAGCTGTTGTTTTTCCTTGTCGATTCCTACCGATCTGTTGTAGAATCAAGGAAACGTGAACTGATAGGTAATTTTATTGGATTCTTTCTGTGCCAACACCTTCCTGCTGTATCCATTTAAGTCTAGGCAACCAGCGGGTTATCAACGACTGTCGACAAGATAAATATTCGTCTAAGTACCTATGCAAAAAGACCGATTCAGGTTTAAGAATATTAAAGCATAATTTCTAAAAATAATGGAAGCTGAAATAACGTCTGTGTAATCTAAACAGAGACTTAATTGTGGCGAATATTTGTAGATGTCCAGAGTGAAGTCCTGATACACTAGTGGCGATGTTTAGCACAACATTGAAACGTCGGTCGCTGACTCATCAGAGCTGATCTAACTTTCTAGATAAATGAAGTGGTCAGGGCGCTCAACTGTTTCACTCTTATTGTTAGAGAGCACACAACTGATAACCAGTCCTGAAGCAATACTTTGCATTTGGGTAGCGAGAAACACATCTCAAATATTCTGAAATCGCCACAGAAGGTGTCCCCAAGACTCTGCTTCTTCACTTAAGAGAACTATGTTTTTTGGGTATTCTAAATTTCTCAAGGATTCTCTTGTGATAAGATTAGTCCCAATGAAGTCAAACGACGATAGGGAGGCATTCATAAATACGTCTATGGAATAGGAATAGAGATATCGAACATCCCTTGCATGTGAGCTCATTCTGTTGGTTCATTGTCAGTAATCGTCTTTTATTGAAATCTCATGTTATTTAATTTTTTCGTGGTTATCCGAATCTTCATGAATCCATGAAGAGTTTATATATTTTTTTCCGCTATTTCTCTGTTTTTCTACATATTAGACAAAACAAATTTCGTCAGCATCTAAATTAGTAGATTCATCTAATACAAGTCAAGGTGTTGATGATGATGCTTCAAAATGTGTAACTCTGCAAGGTGATAAGTCAAACCAGACAACTATCGGTGCAACAATATCAACAAAGGAAAGAATTAAACACTCGATAGGAATACCTTTCCCAAGAACTTCAGGTGTTCATTTTACTACTAATGGGTCAGTTGTTTTATTTGGCATATCACATTCTCTGTCATCTATTCGATCATCGTTGAAAACTACCACACCAACTAATTCAACATTAAATAACAACACTAAGGATTGGACACCACAATCATATAATGCCTACCAGTTATTTGTTAATCAGTTTTCATCAGTTGACGAGGAATACAATGCAGATATGAGAAAATCATTTCAAAATTGTATTGGAAGTATTATTGATTCATTTACTAAATTAGAAGCAAGTTGTGGTAGAAAAAAACAAGAAGATAATGAACAAAATCAACGGAAAGGTATTAGTGAAATGATTGATGATAAAGGTGAACTATCACCTTTGAAAATCAATTTAGCTTCTAGTCGAAATTCATTTGATCTTATAGAAAATAATAAGACAGGAAAAGTAAGTCAATTCTATAACGTCCATCTGTAAATTTATTTGTGGCATAGAAATGGTGAATATGTGACAAACAATGAATCGTTAGTACTCATCATAGTCTGAAATCAGTTGGAGGAATATTAGGAACCTAGGAGCATAGGATGCCAGTTTCGTCCTGACATAGGACTCCTCAGATGTTGACCACCCATGATCCCGCCTCACCAGAGGTAGAACCAAAGACCTTCAGGTTCTAAGGCCAGCACATCACCATTGAACCACTTTGTTGGAATCCATTAGTCCAAATTTTTTTACTTCTGTTAGTTCACGAAACAGCATAGAGTAACTGTACTCACGTTCAGATTGAATCAATTGAGTGCTCACTCATGACCTGCTTCGAGAGATTATTTCTAAAGTCCTACTGAGGAGTTGTGTCTGGTGGGGTCGACCAAGTTGGACATGAGGACAGTTACTCAACGACGGCATCGGATGTAGGTCACTCTGTATTGCGAATCGATAGAGGTAGGAAGTGCGGACAATTGAATTCTAATCCAGTGACTCAATGGTAACGTGCTGGCCACGGGACCTGAAGGTTTTCAGTCCGCGCCCTGGTAAGGTGGGGTCATGGGTGCGAACTCCTGAGGAGTCTCATACTGACGGGGAGTCAGGTGTCCAGTGCTTGCAGGCTTCCAATGTTCCTCCAATCGATATCAGTCCATGGTGAATACCATACTGAAATCAATAAATAAATTTTTTAAATTATTTCTTCATAAGTCGATAGCCACACTTTCATGTCCATGAATTCAGCTGTTAGTAGTATCTGTTGTGTGCTAGTTTAAAATGTTAGTTTTTATCTGAATTAATGTACGTCAATTGGAAATTCGGACGTTCATTAGCCTGAAACCAGTGTGAACATCTTCTGCACTCAGCATAAAGCGTCAACAACATCCAGATTTTCAACACCAACGTCAAGTCAGTGCTCCTGTATGGTTCAGAGACTTGGCGTGTTACCAAAGGCATTTCCAACAAACTATACACATTCATCAACAACTGCCGCCTACGCTGCCTCGTTACTGAAGATCAGTTGGATTGCCAGAATAACAGGAATAAGCAACAAGGAACTCTGACTGGTCGGGCAACGAACCAAAGAAGCAAGAACCTATCGCTGAATAAATATGCATTGGAAGGAAGTGGAGATGGATTGGATGCAGCACACACTGAGAAGGCCGACTGGAGACATCACGCGTCAGGTCAGGCACTCGAGTGGAACCGAGATGGGAAGCGACGAGTTGGGTGTCTGAGGTGAGGATGACATGGAGGAGATTGTGTGAAGAAGAAATGAGGGCTTTTGGGCTGTTGTGGAGCCAGGTTGAAAAGATTTCAGAGAAGAGAGTGGGATGGAGACTTGCTACTGAAGCCCTATGTTTCATTAGGAACCTAAGGGATAAGTAATAATTGGAAATTCCAGTTGGTGTACACAAATTTAAGAGCTATAATCTATAACCTGTTTGTAATTATTCACCAGCACTGATGAACATTTTATTTCCTTTTCTAAGTTTAATCTAACCCTTTTCGAAACGTTAAGGATGAAGTAAATATCTTTTAGTTAGTTTATAAAAGTTGATGAATTAAGTCAGCAATAGGATTGTTTGAGAAATAGAAAGAAACCTAACTTGTTTGCATATTTGATATAAAAACACATATACATGCAGAAATTGACAAAAACACATTTTATTTTTAAGTTAATGGGGATTTTATTCGTAAAGTAATATTCATCGTGGACTAACATCTATCAGTAACCACTGGAGGGGTTAGACGGACGTTTTGTCCTACTATGACACTCTTCAGCAATACTCATTACAACACATTTTCTATAAATTGCACAAAAGTATCGATCGATAGTTTGGGAAGCTAGAAGACTTTCTGGTTTATGTCAGGATTCGATCCAGTCGCCTCTGAAATTACTTGTTTAGTGCTCTACCAACTGAGCTAGAAAATCTAGGTTTTCCTTGAATTGTAATTATCTTCCCCCTGTATTGAGATATAAAGTGGACGATTCTACGGAAACATTTACATCCAGCTGGTCAAAAATATTTCTTTTAACCCAAGAACCTCTGAATTTGTGGCTCATTCGTTTATTTGTTTTTAGTACATTTTCATGAATGGTAGTACAAGTTCATCTCTTTATCCTCGTAATCTACTTGCTTTGGTGAATAAAGCCTAAATTGGGAAATATAAAATTCGATATCCGAGTCTCTTATACACCATCATTACTTTTTCATTTGCAAACTTTCCTGAAACATAAATTGGATAAATACTGTTTTCTTCTCAAGATTGATTTAACACTATTTGGAAATCACATTTCTCCTCTCAATTCCACTTTTGTTGTTAATCATTCCCTTGAAGACATTTCTCAATCATAGCACATTCTTTGTTCAGTTTAAAAGCTTATCTATCAGAAACTATAAAAGTTTAACTAGTTCACATTCTAGAACTTTTTGATAACTAAATTTCTGACATTTCTCATCATTTTTAGATTTAAATTAACTAACTAATTGATTAAAATTATTGTTTATATGGTCCAAATTCAACATTTGGAATAGACACTTTAATGTAATTCCTATTAGACCTAAAATATGCAGATGACATAGTCATGTTAAGTGAAGACGCTGACAAGATGCAGAATCTTCTAAACACTTTGAGTGAGAAGTTGAGAATATTTGGGATGCGGTTCTTCCCACCCAGCTGCAAATGTTTGCTCCAGGACTGGTCTTCAACGGCGCCCCACCGCGGCTAACAATAGAGAGTGAAGTGGTTGAGTGTGTCAACCACTTCACTTACCTGGGAAGTAGGATCAACCCTAGTGGGTTAGTTGCTGATGAAATCGCTGCACGGATACAAAAGGATCGATTGGCTTTTGCCAATTTACGCCACCTATGGCGCCGCCGTGATATCCGTTTGTCTATTAAGGGTTGCGTGTACTGCCCAGCAGTCCGGTCTGTTCTACTGTATGGCTGTGAAACATGGCCATTGAAGGTGGAAGATATGAGAAGGCTTGAAGTGTTTGACCACCGTTGCCTTCGTAGTATAGGACGTATTCCGTGGTGTCACCACGTGAGTAATGCAGAAGTCAGGTATAGAGTTTTAAGGAGTAGAGGTATATCAGTTGACAAGGTTATGAACCTTCATCGATTGAGATGGTTGGGACACGTACTACGTATGCCTAGTCACCGATTGCCTCGTCACACAATGTTGGCTGAGGTGGGTCCAGGCTGGAAAAAGGCTTGAGGTGGCCAGACTAAAACATGGCACCAATGTATGAAGTCTCTGACTGTTGGTATGAGCCATGTAGGACGATGCAGACTATGTGGTTAGGGTCAGTGGAACAAGAGGAACCAGTTGGTTGGAGACTCTATGGGATATGGCTGAGAACCGATGTCAGTGGCGCAGATGTATACACACATCCTCATCTTAACGACGTTATATCGAATCTCACCATTTTGTCATTCTTCCTTTCTTTCTTCTTATACTTTATATATCTTCTGACTGCATTCTCTTATCTTCATCCTTCACTTCACTACCTTTCTACTTGATGTGCTGATATGAGGTGTGGCAACTGGAACCGTTACTCACTGATGCCTGGTACTGTGTTGATATTGATCGATTGTAATTCCTATTATCACATATAACATAAATATTATTGACGTACGTTGTATAAAATATCGTCTTATTAGTTGCAAATTGGATGCATTTACGGTCATGAACAGCCATAGTATCCATTCATGAACAAATTTGAAGTTCACCAACTATGTTAAATGACACATACGTTATTCGATGCCTAATACGTTACTGTTGGATGGTTCTCAATGTTTATTGTCGAGTTCATGTAGTCACAGTAACACGTAGTCAATCTAAGGGACTGCACGTTATATTTTGATGTATACTTAGCATTATGAAAGACAGATACATCACTTCTATTATCTTGTTAAAACTAAATTATAAAAATATTTTGTAAAAACCCCTGCTGAAATCTGTTGCGAAAATAAATTGTCACAGTTTATGAATTTCGCATCTAAGCATAAGAAAAGCCAATAATTTCAGCTAATAATCTATTGATTTATGTTATAAATTTAGTCTATTTTCTAGTTGATTTAGTATGTCCAACTTAATTATTATGCTATGTATACTCTACTTTTATAGAAAAATTCTTCTGAATCTATACGTGAAATAGAACAAAAATGGACTGATTCAATGTCTACATGTATAAACTTTGTTGATGCAAAACATTCTAATAAAACATTTGCCAGTCAATTTAATACAATTTGTAAGTCTTTTCTCTTTTTTTTTTTCAACGATATATACATATATGTATATATGATGCACTTATAAAATCTGTTATGTAATATATGAATAAGGAGGCGACAAAATTAGATGTTATCTTTTTCATTGAAAAGCGATGCTTTGAAAGCCTTCAGTTACTTGTTGTTTTTTCACAGGACATAATGCCTTATGAGACAGATATAAACGTTATACTCTTTACTCATGATACTTTTTCTTGCGTTTCTTTTGTCTCAATTTTTGTACTTGCTGTTGAATACCTAATAATAATAATAATAATAATAATAATAATAATAATAATAATAATAATAATAATAGCTTTATTTTAAAAGATATTTAGAGAATACCGTATAGAATTTTCAGCATACTAAATCGCATCAATTGGACAGAAATGGTGTGTATATGTATACATAATGAAATTAAATGTGAGTATGAATTACATATAAAAGACAAGAATATTTACTCCATCTACAACTTTCTTGAAAATACAAAGTTAAGAAGTTAAATAAAGAATTACATTAGCAATTAAGTTCATAATGCCTAAGTAATAGCAAGTTGTGTAGACTTTAATTAGTTTACTTTCAATAACAATTTAGTTAATCCATGTCTAATACAGGCTTCAGGAAGTACAAATCATGTGCAGACCGAATTGCAACGCTTCGTATCATCATAGAACAGAGCATAGAATAGCAATCAGCTCTCTACCTCAACTTCATCGACTTTGAGAAGGCCTTTGACAGCGTCGACCGAGAAGTAATTTGGAAACTGCTTCAATACTACGGAGTACCGCAAACCTTTATCCGCCTCATTCAACAACTATATGAAGATGCCACATGCCAAGTAATCCACAATGGGAAGCTCAGTGATGCCTTTGAAGTGAAGACAGGAGTGAAACAAGGTTGCCTACTATCCCCCATGATATTCCTGATTGTGGTGGACTGGATCACACAGCAAACAGTAGGCAGCGAGAAGAGGGGGATACACTGGACGACGGAAAAGAACCTAGAAGACTTGGATTTCGCCGATGACTTATGCCTAATGTCACACAAACTTGAAGATCTGCAGGCAAAAACTAACAAGTTGATAGAAGAGGCAGCGAAGACGGGACTTCAGGTGAATATAGAGAAGACAGAAGTGATGAAGATACCGCACCACCACCATCAACAACAACAACAAACTCCAATCACCGTCAACGGGAGAAACTTGAAGGAAGTAACCTCGTTCACTTATCTAGGAAGCACTGTTTCAACTACAGGCGGGACGGACGAGGACGTCAAAGTCAGAATTGGAAAAGCAAGACAGGCGTTCATTAGCCTGAAACCAGTGTGGAGATCTTCTGCACTCAGCATGCGGAACAAGATACGGATTTTCAACACCAACGTCAAGTCAGTGCTCCTGTATGGCTCAGAGACTTGGCGCGTCACGAAAGGCATTTCTAATAAACTACAGACATTCATCAACAACTGCTTACGCTGGCTCGCTACTGAAGATCAGATGGCCAGAAAGAATAAGCAACAAGGAACTCTGGGAACGAACCAACCAAGAACCTATCGCTCAACAAATATTCAGGAAGAAGTGGAGATGGATTGGCCATGCACTGAGAAGGCCGACTGAGGACATCACGCGTCAGGCCAGTCCCTCGAGTGGAATCCCCATGGGGAGCGACGAGTTGGACGTCCGAGGTAAGGGTGACATGGAGGAGGTCATGCGAGGAGGAAATGAGAGCTTCTGGGCTGTCGTGGAACCAGGTTCAAAAGATCTCAGAGAACAGAGGTCACTGGAGGCGTGCTGCTGAAGCCCTATGTTCCACTAGGAACCTAAGGGACTAATAATAATAATAATAATACTTACTTTTTATATTTGATAGTACATGCATACAGTCTTATATATTTGCTTCTGGTATCAGCTGACTACCATCAACCCGCAGAAAGTTTTGAGTCATCTAATGTTTAGATGTTTACATCAGTTAATATACTTGCTAACATCAATTGTAATTACAAGTCTTAGTAGTACACCACTGATTCTGCTGACAATCTTCAATGTTCTACGCAACATACCATAGTTGTTTTTTTTTTCAGCAACCCGGGAAAAAATGAAGGAGAATAATAGAGGACAGCAGGTAAGATCCAGGAGTTTATAAAACGCTAGAGGAGAGGCTTCCTAATATAGAAAGTTAGGCGGAAACTTCTTTTGAAGAGTAGTAAGATATAAAAGGATCAGAGAAAGGTCTGGAAAAAAACACACCGAGATAAATCACACTTGTAACATTCTGTAATGCACAACTATCAGTAGAACAGGAATCGTGAGAAGTAAGCAGTTTACATAGGTTCTGTTCACGTTTAATTTTAGTTTTAAAACTAAAGTTTGCGGTCTGACATTCTAAACAATCAAGCATAAGACCATTCATGGAGGACCATCATCCAACAGTAGATAGGAAATCATTCTGTTGGGAACAGTCTACTGAATGGAAGATAGATATTGAAGCTATTAGGTCATCAGCGTATTTGATGAAATCGATACCAGCTAACAACGGTAATTCATACAAAAAGAAAAAAAGACAAAGAGAAAGGACGGCACCTTCGAGAACACCAGCCCCAGTAACCAATGAGGTGGACCGCTCCGCTCAGTGTGCAGTATATTGTTTCCTTCCAGAGAAATAGAAATACACTCATCCAAGTATCCAGGATTCAGTATTTGTACCAGTTAACTTATCTAGAAAAAGAGATCTTGGGATAATAAATTTTGAAGTATAGTCTAAAAAGGTACACTTGACATACTTGACATTTTGGTCAAGATTATAAGAAATATTTTTATATAAGACGGTAGTGGCATCCAGAATGCTTCTTTTTCTTTTGTATGCAAACTTATTAGGATCTCCAAAAACCTTTACTAAGGGTCCAGGCGCAGGTATTATAATGTATTTTTGAGATGAATAGGGATTTTTAATTTAGAGGTAGTATTCATCATGGACTGACATCAATTGGGGAACCATTGAAAATCTGGGAGCACTGGACAGCTATTTCGTCCTAGTGTGGGACTCTTCAGCAGTATGCACCCACGACCCGGCTAGGGATCGAACTCAGGACCCCCAGGTTTCACGGTGAACGTGTTAACCATTCAGTCACTGGGTCGGTTTCCAGTGGTTCACAATTTCTAACTTCTTTCAATTCACGATATGGTAACTCACCATTTCAGATTGAATAACGTGGGTCAATATTTTATTCTAGGAGTTGAACAGCATATAGATGAATTCCCGAGTTTCCTGTACTAGGAAGAAACAGCTATCCAGTGCTTCCAGGTTTTCATGATTTCTCAACTTATGTCAATCCATGATGAATACTACTTCTAAATTAAAAATCCCCATTCATCTCAAAAATACATTACTATATAGTGCTCATTAGTGACTTGCTTCCAGATGCATATCAAGAAGCTCTAATGAGAAGCCATGACCTATGGGGTCAACCAGTCGGAAGTGAAGTGGATGCTAACTGAAAACCTTGGGTGATAGTCGCACTATGTCGTGAATTGACAAGAGTTGGAAATTGTGAACCACTGGAAATTGATCCAGTGGCTGAATGGTTAACGCGTTCGGCGTGAAACCTTAAGGTCCTGAGTTTGATCTCTAGCCGGGTCGTGGGTGCGTACTGCTGAGGAGTCCCATACTAGGACGAAACAGGTATTATCAGTTTCTCCATTGTTTCCAAGAAGGACGAAGTTACTACAATTGGACGGAATTTCAGATATTCGCCTGACTTACGTACGGGGCTATCTTAATATCTTTCCAGGCAGCTGGTGTGGTGCTTTCTGAAAATGATCTACTAAACATGTTAACTAATGGACGGCATGATATATCAGCACATTTTGTGGATGTAAAGCTTGATATGCCATCCGGATCCAAACTGTATATAGTTTTCAGGAATTTCACACACTTAAAAACACTTTCCTCGGTGAATTTTGGAAAACCTTCTTCATTGGAAATGGGTGAACAGGGTGGAATAGGACAGTTGTGTTGGCGTATAAACGGATTTTTTAGAACAGACTTCCACACATGCTTCTTTACTTAAGTGTTTACTACTAGCGAGGTCTTTAAAAAAATCCCCCACATGCTGGAAGAGCCCTTGCATGACAAAAGTTTCTGGCTGTATGGTAGATTCAGACATTTGAATTCCAACCTAATTAAAACGTTTATCGACGAGCACCAGCATTATCACTTACTTTATATAGCCTTTCTTTTTCTCTTCTAAGTTTCCTAAGCAGAAGAGAAGATATATTATCGAAGGGTAGAAATAATTTTTCGCTAGGGGAACAAATTTCCAGGCAAAACTTAAGATATAGTATGTCACAACATCAATATTATCGTTCAAAACATTGTTGTGAAATATATTCCAATCTGTAACTTGTAGCAAATTTTGTTGTTGTTGATGTTTCCGACAGTTTTCAACTAGAAAATGGTACTTTTGAAATAATTTTTGTGAATTAGTTTTCGTTCTTGCTTGTGACGATACGTGTACACTTTATACAGTTTATGTTTTTATTTGCGTGCTTGTCACGTAGAAAATTGCTACCCAAAAACTAGAACTGATAGGATTTAATGTGATTATTATTACTAGCATTATTATTATGGTTACTATTGTGAATGAATATCAATAATAGTGTTATCATTAGTAAATCAGTTTTACGGATTACTTTGGAGACAAACAATGAAGACGTTGTTTGATGAACAGAAGGTGTTTTTTTAGTTATTATATCGCCTTTATCTAATAGTCAATGCTCATAACAACAGTGAGAATATTCTTAGTAAAAGCAGTAGTTGTAATTCATTCTAGTTACATTATATAATATTTCTTATGGTAGCAATAATCATGGACTGACACCAGTTGGAGAGACATTGAATACCTGGGAGGACTGAACAACTGTTTCACCTCAGTATTGGACTCCTCAACGGTTTTCACCCATGGCTGTTCCAGGACCATTTGAATGGATCTG